TACTGCCATCTTCCCTCCCTCTCCACCATTTAAGCACCCTACGCAAGAAGAGCCTTTGATGGATCAGGCCAGTGCCCCATCTAGCCCAGTGTTCTCTTCTCACAGTGGCCAACCAGATGCCCGTGGGAAGCCTGCAAGCAGGACTTGAGGGCATCAGCACTCTCACCTCCTGCAGTTTCTGACAGCTGGTATTCAGAAGCATAACTCCCTCCAACAGTGGAGATAGAACATGGATGTCAGGATTAGGAACCCTGCCCCACACTTATCATGCCATCCTGACACTTTTAAGCTGTTTGGCCCTAACATTGTAATTTATTGTTGTTAAGTTGTCTTTGCAAATTTTCAGCCGGAATAAGCAGTTGCTTGATATCATTTTTCCCATTCAAGAAATCTGCCTTATGAACATCCCCACACTGAATTAACCACACAAGTAAGGAAAGGTCTCGAGGTTACTAATCCTTGGTTCCATGAGCAGATGTTGAGCGTCTTGTTAATCAAAGCAGATAGCTTGGCAAGCCTTAATTACACAGTAGCAAAATAATTGCTTGGCTTAGCCAAACTGTTATAGGAATGAAAGGAGTCTCTCTTCCCACCCACCTTTCTAGAGCAGGATAAGCTTGTTTAAATTATATTGTGTATAATCTATAGATTGAAAGTATAAGACCTGGAAAACAGTACATTCAAAATCAACACCACCTGGGTTGAAGTTAGTTGAGGACTTCCATTTGTTCTAGTCCTCTGTCCCACCCTACATATAAGGTGAGAAAAGTTATATTTGAAAATATTCTGGTTCTAAAAAAATGAATTAGATGAATTGTCATACCCTAGTTCCTAATGTTTAGTTCGAAGAAAATACTTTTAAAGAAAAGATCACCAATTTGGCTTAGCCTAGAAGATTTAAGGACATAGGGTATCTATGCTCCTGTTTTGATAGGGCAGCACACAACCAGTTCGTAAGGGAAATGTCCTGGGGTACAGGACAAAATAAAAATGGGAGGGGGGAATAAGAAATAAAAAGCAGCAGCATGCAATGTCATAAGAACATAGAAACATAAATAAGAGCCTGCTGGACAGTGTTTTCGCAAGAGCTTTGTAGAGTATCTGTTTTGCAAGAAGGTCTGGTGGTCAGTTCCCAGCATCTTCTGGTGAGGCTGGGAAATACACCTTGCCTGAAACCCCGCGGAGCCACTGCCAGTCAGTGTAGACAGTATAAGGCAGCTTCCTATGTTCCTAAGTCAGTAGCTGCCTGTTTGCTTGTTGAGCAACTGTGTGGTCAGATAGAAAATGAGTGACTTAATGAATTTATAGCCAGGATACCAAGGTTTCCTGAAACCTCTGGAGGATTGCAGTGCCTGTAATTGGTTTAAACTTTACAAACAAGTCGCAGGAAATCTGAACATACCATTGCTTGCCCAATCCTTAAATTGCAAATGCTTATTTGGGTCATGGAATAATAGATGTTTCCAGAAAGGTATCAAGGGAGATGCTGAAGGAGCCAATCGGCAGAACCAATTTTCCAGTGTTGCTCTTAAGAATTTGTGGTTAGATGCATTTAGAGAGCTCTGCTGGAAGTAAAGATAGGATTTACACATTAGCAAACACAACGGGCAGTTGCCCCATAGAGACCCATAGCTTGTCCTTTGAAACCTGCTTCAGTTTCGTGGCATGCCTTCCTTGCCGGTGCACCGCTTTATTGACTCATAGATCCATTGAAGTCAACAGGAAAGAAAGTATGTGCACCAAGTCTGGGGCTGGTGTCACGTTGTTCTGTTGACAAGGGTAACATGGCTTTAGTGTGCTCCTCTTGTGCTACTCCCATTCCAGCTATTCTGGCAGCATATCTAGGGTTCCCCACCAGAATATCTGCCATGCACTTCTGCCAAACCCTGTAGCCCTCAGATGGCGGAACATGAATATACCATAATGGCCCACATATAAGTGGCACCGTTAAAATTCAAGGGGGGGGGGGGAGAGAAAAAAAGACAATACCAGAATATAAGCCGCTCCCTTAAAATTCCGCAGGCACTCACACCGTATGTCTGTTTCAGCAGTGATATCGTAAAAGCCCATTTTTGTAAGGTCACGAGTTTAAGCCACACTTTAATAATAATGATAATAATAATAATAATAATAATTTATTATTTATATGCCACCCATTAACTTTTCACGGTCAGAACTGTTCCGTTGATTTTAATATTTCAATCAAGTATCATCAGATGTCAAATACTGAGACAGAATATTTTGTGGATATTTGATCTTAAGGGGGGTGGGGGCTGATCTTTTTTGCATGCATGCATAGGACTGGAGACAACGGCTGCTGCACATATGAACAGGCCACAAGAAGCTGCACATATGAACAGGCCACAAGAAGCCACTCAATGAATTAGGTGCACATTCAGGCCACACTCACATCCTAACCCAGGATTGTTTCTTGGAGTCATTGGACCTAAATTTGAGACTTTTGCAACTCTTATGAATGGGAAGAGAGACTTAAATCCTACAAATACACAAATTACAAAACTGCAAATGACATAAAATCAGCTTTAAAAGGCAGATTAACTCACACAACCCCATGTACCAGTTTACTAACAGGAGCATCAAAGACGCAGTATTAAATGCTCAAAATGAATAAACAGCAAAGTGGGTAACTCACTCTCAATCAGTGAAAACTCTAACCTCTTATAACTGTCTTGGCGAAGTCATGGGACTTTGCTTGGCGTGGAAAAGACAGGTGTTTCAGGAGCAAGCATGCTTCCATGGGGAGGGCACGCCACGAGAAGGGCACCACCACAGAGAAGGCTCGATCCTGCATCACCACATAGAAGACTTTCCCCAGTGGTCAAAGTTAGTGCTGAAGAGAAAGGCCTCCTATGGAGATCTTACGAGGGCACAGGCTGGTCAGAAAACTGAGTAAGGTATGCATAATCTGCCTGTCTTTAAGCCAGGAAGATTCTTCTTGAGGGAATGTAAGTCCTTTTATGGAGGAGAGAGTACAGCTGAGGGAGAAAGGAGAGAACCGAGTGAAGTTACCTTTCCAAAGGTGAACTGTTCCAAATGTTCAAAAAAAGAGCATGATATTCACATCAGATCAAGCAAAGGTAAGAAGAGTGGCATACCAAAAGGCAATTTCCTGGCAAGATGTTAACATGGGAACATAAAAGTGATGTGTCTGGAAGCAGAACTGCTGAGCTACAGACAACCTGGGTGTGAGTCAGAGAACGTTAGGACAGGCCCTGTCCACCAGGAAGGGAGACTTGATTGCATGTGACTTGTGTCAACTCCAGAGACGTCAAGAGCTACAACATAAAAAAAAAAGCCAACAGAGAAGTTTCTAAATGAGCCGTGCAGCCTTGAAGGCAGGCAAGCTGGCAGCAACTCAGTTTCTGAGGAAAAGTCAGCAATCCAGGTGTGCTCTCTGAAGTTAGAGCATACAGTCCTACATTTTTTTATTGACATGAAGGCAGCAGGAGCGGATACACGTAGTCATTTTCTCTATCAGTACTGACTGGAGGTAAGATTAGTGGTTCCCAAACTTGTTTCCCCACAATCACTTGAAAATTCCTGAGAATACTGGCGGACCACTTCCTCACACCTATCACTTCCAGTCTGTCTTGGAGAAGATGTTGCCGCCACAATCCACAGCTGCCACTTGTGTTCTTCATAGACATACAACTTTGCAGTCCACAGTTTGGGAACTCCTGGATTAGACAGATGGGTAAATTTGCACTACAATACTGATAAATTTCCATGAGGGCATATATATATATATATATATATATATATATATATATACGTGTGTGTGTGTGTGTGTGTGTGTAATGGTTCTAGGAGTTGCTCGTGCGTAAGCCAGTGCAAAAAACACCTGGCTGGGTTGCCCTGAGTAAACCTTTTCTGTCCGGACAGCCACTCACCTGTGGCTGTCTCAATCGCTGGCAGAATCCGTCAGTGGGCATTTCTTAAACTTCTTCCAGCAAAGAAGCTCTTTGACGCCTAGTCTCCTCCTACTCTCTCTGCACGAAAGCCTTCTGTGCAAGGAGGGCGTAGGCAGCGGAGGACCCCTACTCTCCCCGCTGGTCCCCGGCGAGGAGTCATGGGACCGCCTCGCCGCTTCCCCCATCTGCCCCCCTTCTCCACTGGTGCTACGCTGATTCTCTTCCCCAGAAGATGGGCTGCTTCTCCCAATCCCGGGACGCTCTCTGGAATCCCTCTGGATTTTGCTCTCTCCCTCTGGCACTGATGGCAGTTCCCTGACTATATATATATATATATATATATATCACAAACTGATGCGGAAATGTGGATAACTGAACTTAATATTGGAAAAATGGGACACCAAGAGGAACTAAAATGGCATATTCACCCATTACTCCTACAAAATAGTGCCACAAGAAACCCTTTCAGAGTAGTTTAAAGCAGTCAGCTACCAAGTAGTCCAAATAATGTTCTAAACAGGTTGAATGTTTTGCTCAATTGAAACAGGAATTCATTTGCCATTGTTCAGAGAAACATTTGGCCACATGAAGAAATGTGAGGCGTTTAATATATGGATTAATTTTTTATTTAAAATTTAAATGTCTTACAGGACAGTATTTTTTTTAAAAAAAAGGGAAACAACTGTGACAATAGTGACAAGCTTTCTGTTGCTATAACAACTTGTAAAAGTTTTACCAAAAGTCTTTACAAAGTTGAGATGACAGTAAAATTCTTGATAAATACATAGCACCAAACATGTTGAAGAAGCTATTTCAGATTAAAGTTTTGAAGCTTACGCTACATGCTGCTCATAAAATAAAAGTTTGTCAAAGGTTTTAATATAGTGAAACAATTACCTTTAACTTTCTTAACTGGAGCCATTTAAAATCAATAGACTTAAATGCAACAATGTCATCACTTGGATGAAAATATTTGTTCTCGTTTTCCTTTGTAATCTTCTTTTGTTTTAGGTGCAAGGTGAAAAACATTTGTTAATGCATAAGAACTCTAATGTTTGAGGAACATAATTAAAAAAGTGAAAATGACTTTCTGCTTTGTGATGAAGGTTGAAAGCCTTTTAGTGAGGCAGCCTGGGATGACCCAAAAGCAAAAGGAAAACTGAAGTCGTCTTTCCCATTTTGAAAAGCTTGAGCGGAAGAGCACGACGGAAAAGAAAACGCAAATGAATCATCATTCTCCATTTTCCCAAATAAATTTCCTTGAAGGGAATAATATTTTGAATTAACTTTTGACTTTATATGGAATACAATCAATAATTCTGGAGATTAATTACAATTTCATTATTTCAAAAAAATTGCCAAAGAATAGTATTATTTCAGTTAGATATGACATGGATTCTGAGATTGTCCTACTGCTCATAAAGGACAAGAATTTCTGACCGACAGTGTTCAAAGAAATTATGTCAAATATTCACTCCTAAAGGTGGAATTGCTAAAGCGTGACGAATCTCAAAAGCAGGTGAAAAGTGTAGAGTGAAATCTAAGCCATTATCATCATCATCATCATCATCATCATCATCATCATCATCTAAGCCCACAGAGGGAAGGTGTTGGGTGGCTATCAGCACACATGTTATCAGCAATATATGCAGTAAGAGAAGCTATTGACTAAACAATTTATTTCATGGTAAGAACTTACCAATATCTTTGTGTGATGAAATAGGATTTAAATTTCCAGAATAGCTTTCACCTAACTGAAACATAATATATATAAGTGAATTAATTGCAAAACCAAGCAATAAATTAGTAAGCATCCTTTTACAAGTTCACCAGCTATTAAGGGAAATGCTGCACAGCGCAAGTTAAAGCAAAATTTCTCTTCTCAAACGCCGTATGTTTTGTGACAGTCTTGGTAAGAGTGTTACTTCTAAGGATATGTCACAAATCTCAGGCACAATCCAGGTGTCTGGACATGCAAAAAGGTAGGGGTTATTCAATTACAGAAGACTCCCCATGAACTAGTTCCGATTATTGCTTCTAAAGCTATGTTGTTGTTGTTTAGTCGCGTCCGACTCTTTGTGACCCCATGGACCAGAGCACGCCAGGCATACCAGTCCCTAAAGAAAACATCCCACTTTGCATTTCTGAACACTATCCTTACTACAGTTCACAGTTGTAGAGACCATGTTTCCCCTATTCACCTTTTATCCAGTCCTCAACCAAGAAAGTTTGTGGTTGATTGGGGATTGAAATTCAAATTTCCTCACTTCTAGTCTGACACTGACTGCACCATATTTTAGTAATGAATAAGCTGATCACTTCACACAGCTCTACATGTTGGCAATTCAATATTACCTGGCCTGGTGAAATTTCCGCTCCAAGTACAGAAGAATCAAAGAAATTAAACCCAGGGGACTTTGCAGTAAAGCTAGAAAGGAAAGGAAAAGCGGGCGACTTTGACATTGATCCTTCACTTTTTGATGGAGTTCTGTTGTAAAGAAAGGAGAAATTTAGTAAGAATGGTGGAGAGGGAATTGGTGTTAAAATGGGAAACATCCCAAAATTAGGTTTGGTAGAGTCTTTTACCACGTGCTCTGGAAAATGACAAGCTCATTAACAATATTTGAAATAAGAATTCTTACAGTTCCAATGGAGTTTCCATCCTACTAGAAGCAGGTGTCTTTGGAAGTATGTTAGACTCTGGAGTTCTTGGAAAGCTTACAGCATCGTCTTCTCTTTCTGCAAAATGACAGTCAGTTGTTGCCTGCCCATCCTGTTAAAGAGAAATTTTACATACAAGACCATGTTTATATGGCATTCACAGCTGTGTTGACACCAAGACATACTTATTGGGGCTTTTCAAAAAGAGAACAATCTTTATATTCATCAGGCATAAGACTGCCAATTTTGGAACAACTGTAGTGAAGGTGGGATAAGAAACATTCTTAAATGAATGTATGCATGCATCCATCCATCCATATACGTATAATGGAAGTGAAAAGTGAAAAATTCAATCACCTGTATATAGACATCACATATAGACATTTGATGAGTTATTTAACAATATAATGTTTGATTACAGTTTTCTCTAAGCTTATCAGTTGAAAGACGACTACAAAATCAGAATCACTTTAAAATATCTGCTAAAATAAAGAATATCAACAAGGAGGGAGGACTGTCTGATCTCGGCTGCAGAGATGTTCTACAAAATTGGAACCTTAATACAGAACACAGAGCTCCTGTATCTGAGCCACAGGGACCACTAACATGTGTGTGAACTTTATAAAGCTGCCCTGGACTAAAATACCATCTAACTCAATTTTGTATACAAACTGAGCGGCAGCAGTTCTCCACTGCTTCAATCAGGATTTTTCTTATTCCTACCAAGCATTGAATCGGGGTGGGGGTGGGCTTTCACTTGAAAGTCCCTACAGTGGGTTACATGTCACTTAAAACATATAACACAATATTTAAAACCACTGTAAAATACTGTAAAATACAATGAAACAGTAGGTGTGAGTTGAATCAAATTACAAGAAATAGCACTTTAGCCCACTCCACTAAAAGTGACCTGTTGAGGAAAGCTATATAATGTTGCTGCAAGATTAACTTCGGAGGGGGTAGCATTCTGAAATTTAGAGGCTACCACTGAACAGGCCCTCTCACGTGCCATCATCTGTCAAATCTCATTTGGCAACAGTACCGTTGAAAAGAGCCTCCCTGGCCAAGGTTATCTTTGATCATTCTAGAGCATGTGCTCCATCACCAAATATAGCCCCTCCTTGTGAAAACACTTTATTTTTTATTGCAACTACTTTCAAACAGGAGAGCTCACATGTAAAAGATTAATTTCAAATGACACTGCATTTATACAGCATGATAAAACTGCAGAAACCTGTGCTAACCAGGCATGAATTTGAAGGAAATAAATAGAAAAAACAAAAATAAAGTTAAACTGACTTGAAACACATGTGCAGAATCGTTTGATCTGCTTCCTTCTCGTTCCACATATTCAGTCTTTTTTCCTTCTAGAGAAGATTGTTCGCATTAAAAATAATTCAGCTCATCACATGTGAAAATAATATTCAAAAGTAGCACTCTTCATACTATAAATTTACTAATGTAAGAGTTGGCTTATTTGTATTTTTTAGGAGCAGAGAGCATAATGGTATGTTCCACAAATCACTTAATCCATCATGGTGTCCCTTACATCAGCCTATACCCTCAACCTAAAGGCAGTGCAGTGCAATAAAACAGATAATCCATCTCTTGATCTACTGTACCGGGGGCTGACCTGTGCACCTGTTAGTAATAGGGTATCCTGGGCACTACAAACAAAAGCAAAGAGGTACAATAACTATACTGAAGAGATGCTCAAATGACCAGAGAAACTTGAAGAATTTGGCCTGCAAGTAGCATATTTAGAAGAAGAAAAAAGATGGTTTCTGTAGGTGCATCCATATTAGTTGCAAAACCTTTAACATCATATATAAACAAATCATTCACAGGTCTATTTTTTTAACTACTTTGCACAATACTGTAATTGGTGGTGGCTGATTTTTCCACTTAAGCAGTGATTACAGACTCTAATTGGCTGATACCACATGTGTGTGATTGCAGCAGTGGAACATTACCACAAATTCAACTATCAGTCAACATAATATATATTTTAAATAAAAATTTATTTATTTATTTTTAGGCACAGCAGTCCAAACAATCATGAGTCTTCATGTTTTTAAAACCAAGAATTCTATTTTATGCAGTTTGTAAATCATGCAATAAGTGGATAACCAGTATGAAGTTTTCCTTCACAGCTATATAATTAGCAAACCCTGGTAGGTCAGGAGACTGAGAGTGTTTTCACAGCACAGGAACTCTAAGCCCAGTTAAGGAACAATTTCTAAAAAGCAAAAAAAAAATTGGAAGGATTGAAAGCCTTGGAATGATCCAACTGGAAAAGGAAAACTGATGTCATCTTTCTCATCTTGAAAAGCTTGACCGGAAGAGCATGATGAAAAAGAAAATGCAAATGAATAATCATTCTCCCTTTTCCTAAATAAATTTCCTTGAAGGGAATAATATTTGAATTGACTTTATAAGGAATACAATAAAAAATACTGGAGATTAATTACAATTACATTATTTTAAAAATGGCCTGAATACTAAAAAAAAAAATAGTATTAGACATAACACAGATTCTGATATTGTCCCACTGCTCTTAAAGGCCAGGATTTCATGACTGACAGTGTTCAAAGAACCCTTACATTTCAAATATTCAGACCACTGCTTGAAAAGAGTGAATGAAATTGCTGTGAGAGTTGGCTGGAACAATTAAAGTTTAACAAATCACAAGAGCAAGTGGAATGGATAGACAGAAACCACTAAGCCCAAGAGCTCTATGATACCGTGTGAAGCTCTATGATACCGTGTGAATCCAATTTAAACATTTTGTTAAAGGAATGAAGCTACTGGGTGCCTATCAGCAATACAGTGGTGCCCCGCAAGACGAATGCCTCGCAAGACGGAAAACTCGCTAGACGAAAGAGTTTTCCGTTTTGGAGGTGCCTCGCAAAACGAATCTGCAATGGGCTTGCTTCGCAAGACGAAAATGTCTTGCGAGTTCCTGGGGGTTTTTTTTTCCTTTCTCCCCTCTTTTTTCTAAGTCGCTAAGCCGCTTATCTGCTTATCTGATAAGCTGATAAGCTGCTAAAAGCCGCTAAAAGCCGCTAAAAGCCGCTAATAGCGCTAATCCGCTAATCCCGTCAATGGGCTTGCTTCGCAAGACGAAAAAACCGCTAGACGAAGAGACTCCCAGAACGGATTCTTTTCGTCTTGCGAGGCACCACTGTATGTGAATTAATGGAAGCTATTGACAAAACAGAGGACGAATGGTTGGATAGTGTTCTCGAAGCTACCAGAATGAGTTTGACCAAACTGCGGGAGGCAGTGGAAGACAGGAGTGCCTGGCGTGCTCTGGTCCATGGGGTCACGAAGAGTCGGACACGACTAAACGACTAAACAACGACAATTGACAAAACATTTCATGGTAAAAGCTTACCAATACCTTTGTGTAATGAAGTAGGATTTAAATTGCCAGCAGAAACTCTTTCACCTAACTGAAACATAATATTCATTATATAAGTGAATTAATTAGAAAACTCATCAATAAATTAGTAAATTCAGGATTTGAAAAGCACCATGTTTTAATTATCCAAGTTCTTAAAATGCTTGGAGGTAATAATAATAGTAAACATACTACTACAGGAGATTTGCTGATGTAGTGAAACTGAAATTCCAAAAATGAACCCTAGCTGTAAGGACTTGCCTTTTTTGCCAGCCTTGTTATTAAACTCCATGCATGTTACTTCTAAGGGTTATCCCTTCTACTAGTGAGACATTAATTCCACCAAGTGCTCCAGAAGTCAAAGTAAAGACATGGCTACGTTTTCTTTAAGATGTTCACAGCAATCCTATGCATGTTTACTCTTTATTATCACTGTATTCAGCTTTAATCCCACGTAGGTTGATGGAGGATTATACCCTGAATGTAATATTTTTATTATTTTGTGCATGTTAAAAAGCAAATCAAAAGCAAACATTACATTTTACTAGTTTTGCAACCTGAGGACTGAGATTGCCATACCACTCCTAAATGCAATAATAATTTACTTCCAAGTAAAACTAAAGGCAGCAAGGGACGCGGGTGGCGCTGTGGGTTAGCCCCACAGAGCCTAGGACTTGCCGATCAGAAGGTCGGCGGTTCGAATCCCCGCGATGGGGTGAGCTCCTGTTGCTCGGTCCCAGCTCTTGCCAACTTAGCAGTTCGAAAGCACATCAAAGTGCAAGTAGATAAATAGGTACCGCTCTGGCAGGAAGGTAAACGGCATTTCCGTGTGCTGCTCTGGTTCGCCAGAAGCGGCTTAGTCATGCTGGCCACATGATCCGGAAGCTGTACGCCGGCTCCCTCGGCCAATAAAGCAAGATGAGCGCCGCAACCCCAGAGTCGGCCATGACTGGACCTAATGGTCAGGGGTCCCTTTACCTTTTTAAAACTAAATGCATATGACCATGTTTATCATGAACTGGGACTCTCTGACTGGAGTCACCAAGGCTGCTTTTCAAACAAGTAACAAAAGAAAAACTCAACTCCATCAAGGAGGAGAGGCAGGTAAGGAGATGCATGTCTAATTTGAACCTGACTGGTGTCAGTGGTAGACTTCATGGAAGATTCTGCGGAGAAGGTCACAGGCAACTTTGTAATCACCCTTTTACAGGTTGACAGGCTATTAATTCTGTATGTGGCCTGTTTAAGCAAATCTTCTCTTCTCAATCTTTGGTAAAAGAATGTGACTTCCAAGGACAGATCACTAATTTCAGACAAATCCCAGGGGACTGGACATCCAAAAGAGTTTGGGTTATCCTTTTGCAAATGACTCCCAATGAACTAGTTTTTTATTATTGCTTAAGAATCTATACCAATCCCTAAAGAGAAATTCTGAACTTTGCATTTCAGAATTGTATCCTTACATGAAAATGCCTATTAGGTTGGCTATACCCGCAGATTACACTTATTATTCGTGCTGTGTTTCTAATATTTATTTTATTACATTTATATCTTCGCTCTCCAAAAAAACTCATAGTTGTGGAAGCCATGGTTTCTCCTCCAAGCTTTTATCCATTCCTCACCCAATGAGGTTTGCAGTTGATTGGGAATTTAAATCTGCACCTTTTCAGTTCTAGTCTGACACTAACTACATCATGAATACATTTCTCAAGCTCACACAGCTCTGCATTTTGAAAATTCAATGTTACCTGGCCTAGTGAAGTTTCCGCTCCAAGTACAGAAGACTCAAAGAAATTAAATCCAAGGGACTTTGCAGTAAAGCTAGAAAGGAAAGGAAAAGCAGGGGACTTTGACATTGATCCTTCACCTTTTGATGGAGTTCTGTTGTAAAGAAATAAGAGGAGAAATTTATTGGCAATTGAGGGTGGGAATTGGTGTTAAGTTGCAAAGCAGTCAAAATCTGGGCTTTGTAGGGTGTTCACTCCAAAAGTGTGGAAGAATGACAAAGCTCATATCTGAACTAAGAATCCTTACAGTTCCAATGGAGTTTCCACCCTACTAGAAGTAGGTGTCTTTGGAAGTATGTGAGGCTCTGGAGTTCTGGGATAGCTTTCAGCATCGTCTTCTCTTTCTGCAAAATGACAGTCAGTTGTTGCCTGCCCATCCTGTTAAAGAGAAATTTTACATACAAGACCATGTTTATATGGCATTCACAGCTGTTTAAACACCAAGACACACTTATTGGGGCTTTTCAAACAGAGAACAATTTTTATATTCATCAGGTATAAGACTGCTGTGCTTAAAACAACATTAGTAAAGGTGGATAAGAAACGTTCTTAAATGTATGCATGCATCCATCCATATATAATGGAAGTGAAAAAATGAAAAAACCCTTCAATCACCTGTATATAGACATCACACACAAATTTGATTAGTTATTTAAACAATTTCTGTACTGCCTTTAAATGCCTGCTGAATTAAAAAAGCCTGAGCCCACGATATGGAACACTCCTGCTGGATACTGCTGGATAGCTCCTGCTGGATACGAACCATGCATTTGAGCAATGGGGGACCACTAACATGTGTGTGAACTTTATGAAGCTGCACCATGCTAAAAGGGCATTGTTCTAACTCAATTTTGTATGCACACTGAATGGCAGCAGCTCCCCGGGGATTCAATCAGGATCTTATCCCTACCAAGGATTGAATCTAGGGCCTTCAGTATTTTTTTATTTATTAAACTTCTGACCCTCCTTTCACTTGAAGATCCCTAAAATGGGTTACATATCACTAAAAACAGTACTTCACTCCACTAAAAACATGGGCAAAGAGGGGCATCTTGACCTGTTGAGAAAAGCTATACATTGTTGGTGCAAGATGCACCTCGTTGGGGGCAGCATTCCACAGCTTAGAGGCTACCACTGAAAAGGCCCTCACATGCCATCATCTGTCAAATCTCATTGGGCAACAGCACCATTGAGCAGAGCCTCCATGGCTGAACTTATCATTGATCATTTTGGAGCATGTGCTCTATCACCAAGCATAGCCCCTCCTTGTGAAAACAGGACCATTCTTTTTATTGCATCTACTTTCAGGCAGAAGAGCTTACAAATGACATTGCATTATAGAGCATGTTAGAACTGAAAAACTGTTATCTGGGCATTTATTTAAGAAAAATAAATAGATAAAGCAAAAATAAAGGTAAATGGACTTGAAATGCTTGTGCAGAATCCTCTGTCCTGTTTCCTTCTTCTCGTTCCATATACTCAACCTTTTTTCCTCCTAGAAAAAAATGCTTGCATTAAAAAAAAATCAGGCCATCACATGTGAAAAGAATATTCAAAAGTAGCACTGTTGGTACCATTGATCTACTAACATAAGAGTTGGTTTATTTGTGTTTTTTAGCAGCAGAGTATGATGATGTCTTCTACAAATCACTTAACCCATCCCTTACATGTCCCTTACATTAGCCTCATTCTAAAGGCAATGTGTAGCATGAGAGTGAAATTCAGTTCCACATACTGCAAGATAGTCCTCTTGATTTGTTGCCCTGGGGGGTGATCCATGCACCTGTGAGGAATGTGGTATTCTGGGCACCACAAACAAAAGCAAAGGGGTTCAGGAACAACACTGAGGCTCAAAGGGCCAAATAAGGGTCCTATAAGTGGCACATTGAGAAACAAGGCTGCATAGGTATCCTGTGTAAGTGGGTCCATATTGACTGGAAAACCTTTAATACACTATATAGGCAAGTCATTCATAGTTCTATTCTTTATCTACTTTGTAAAATGCTGCAATTGCTGATGACAAGTGCTCCTGATTAAGCAGTGATGATGACTGACACTAATTAGTTGATCCCATATGCTGTGTGTAATTGTGGCCATGAAACACCACCACAAATATAACCATCAACCAACATAGTGGTTGTTGCGACACAATTTAATGTTAGGCATAATCGTCCATAAGTTCACAATTCTTCATTATTTTAAAATCAAGAACTCTAATTTATTCAATTTGTAATTTACACAGTAAGTCAATAAGCAGGATGAAGTTTTCTTCTTTTCTTTAGCTATATGATTATGTATAAAGTATTTTAAAGTGTTTTGTATTCTAACGTTTCAGTTGCATTTTATACCTATTTCTGCAGCCTCAGCCTCAAACCACTGCCTGTTGTTTGTTTGCTTCTGATAAGATAGCAACCTAAGACAATAAACAGGATAACGAGTTTGTTTCAAAAACATTATCTTCATGCAAGATTCTTAATCCACACTTTCACTAATGAAAATATGATTTGTTTTAAAAGTTACCTTAGTGGTGTTTGGTTTTGCAAGCTTGTTACAGACGAAAGCTGGGCATTTTTTGCTATGTTAGTTCCTATGGTGTCATTACATTTCTAAAACAGAGGACATATTTCAAATGAAGGGAAGTACAAAATGATAAATTCAGACATGTTGACTTTTCCTTAGGCTGTACAAATACAGCTCTTTTGACCTCTATTTACAGGTCATGATTTTGAAACATTATTTTTCCTGCCATCAGATCTGCTCCAATTTGTCCTTTTGGTTTCCCTAAAAAAAAAACACACTAAAAGAAAATTGCTATAGTGAATAAATTAATTTGCATTGCTGTATATTTACTTAATAGGCTCATTTTTGTTATGTGTTAAATAAAGAATATACTGTATAACTGAAGTGAGTATAGCATTTACTTTTTACTTAGGCTTTCAAAAACAAACTCTGATATATACCTATTATATGAAATATATTAGGAGACCTCATTATAGTGTGAGTTGATGTACTCTTAAAAGGGAAAGACAATGCATATTTATAGCAAGGAAGGTCAAAAGAAAAGGATGTAGAACATTGTTCTGGCATGCTGAAGAACCACATAGTGGTACAGCATTAAAACTGCTAGCACATTTACAAAGCTAAGCAGGGTCTGGTATGTTTCAGATTGGATGGGGGAACCACGTGTTGCGATTCCTACATTACAGGGTGTTTGACTAGATGACCCTCATGGTCTCTTCCAGCTCTACAATTCTATGATTTTATGAAAACAAAGGCACAATGAAGTCAAACTTAAACACTTGCAAGTTCCATTGATTTTTCTGGCAGAATTAAGAGACTACCTATATTTCTCTCACTGAAGTCAATGGAACTTCAAATTGCTTATTGGCATCACATAAGTCTATATCAAAGGATGAAAAACATATTTATTTATTTAATTTTATGTACAACTTAATTGTAACAAAGCCTCTAAGTGGTTTACAAGAATCAGGGTTTGTAGAGCTCTTTCCCTTTCTATCAAACCTATACCTTGTTAGCTGGGAAGAATGGGATGGACCAGTGTAGTAGTGGTGTAGACTGGGTGGGTGAATTGTGTTTCTTGCTGTATATCTGCATGGAGTCTCTGACTCAGGGCCAGACCCATATGCATAGTCCTGTCTGGATAGATAGGTGAGATTGCCCTGCAATTTTTGGGAGGGGAAGAACAGGCAGAACAAATTTTCTGGTTGTGTAACACCTCCCACTGAATCAGTGACTTTGCATTTTATTGTTTTGCATTAAAAATACCTAAGATAAGGTGATGGCTGTATAGATGTAGCTTGTGCCCCTCTCTAGAGAAGAAGGATTGTGTCTGGTAACGCCATGCTTCTAGGATCAACTATGGAAGGGCCATAGCTCAGCAATTGAGTACATGCTTTGTATGTAAAAGGTCCCAGGTTCAATCGCTGGCATCTCCAGGTAGGGCTGGGAGAGAACCTGAAGCTCACCTCATGTTGGAAGCGAGAACATATTTTGTGGCTACTGTGCTGGTTACCATTTAGCTTCCAAATCTAAATCAAAGTGCTGTTTTTCACTTTTTAGGTTTTTCACAAACTAAGACCAAATCTATCTCAGAAATCACCCTTCCTCATATAAGCCTGTTACATAGCCTGTATAGGCTAAAGGCACGAGGCCACCATTCTGCTAAAGCTGAGCAGATCTGGGTTCAGTCTGTGCCCATATATGACTACCTGGGAATTACATGCACTCTGCCTTGGATTCCAGGAAAGAAGAAAGGTGAGAAATATACGGAAGTAAAATAAAAAGAATCTGTATCAGTGGAGTCCTCCTCCATATAGCTGCATTATATTAAATGGGGACATCGGAGGTGAAGATAAGGGTCTTTTGCTGGAACTGAATGGCCTCCTTTAAGGGCTTAGGACACTGTTTATTCTGTCAGACCACTGGTTCATCTAGCTCAATATTATCCACACTAACTGGTAGTAACTCTCCAGAGTTTCCGAGGGGAGTCTTTTCCAGTCCCACATTGAGATATCAACTATTGAACCTGGTACCTTTTACAGCTGAGACATGGCCCTGAGTTGTGTTTAGCTTCAGTGAAGTTATAAACCCTATCTCTTCCAGAAGCTTTAAAAAAATGTTGCTCTGTTGTTTGCTTGGATTGTTTTTGTATGTTTTGTTTTTATTTTAGTATTTATCCTACTGTATCTTTATGGCTTTAGTTTTTGTGGTGGCACATAAATGAAGCAATACAAAAATAATAATAAAACATTTAGACATCTAGATTTGTTTTTCTGTTGCTGGTTTTATATATAAGTAGAATGCTACAATGTGAAAATTGACTGCTTCTTTTAAATCAAATCATCTTTTAAACAATAGATACAAAAAATTGCTCCTGTCTTGCCCCTGGTCTCACCTGCTTTCCATTTGCATACCTGTCTTTCATTTTCTACATGGCTGAAGTATATACTGGTCACTGCTGAATGTCCTGCAGAATCTTTTCTCACTTCCATACCTATATTATTTAATGGCAGTTTGATATAATTAGCCATTACACAATTTAGCTTTATTATTAAACAACTGAAAACAAAATTGACAATAAATGCTTATAAACAGCATGAAGGTAATCAGAAAGCTATCAGCTTGAAGATAACAAACTTCAGGACAAATATACCAGTTTCTTAAAATATATATGGATGACTGCTGAGAAGAACTGGCACAAAGTATTATGTGGAAAAGTCTCTCAATACTATATCTGTTACCTTTGGTGTAGGCAATTCAGAGTACAGAAAACACACTGATGCATTTGCCTATATAACAATTGTGATCATTCTACATTATTATTATTAACTGCAAAGCATAGGGTGGTTTACAATATAAAAACATAGCTGCTAAACCAGGTGAGGATAACTGATGAGCCTCAGACTTCTCCTGCATGCGAAGACAGGCTGTGGTGGATTGAGCGGATGAGACCAATAGTGGGTCCAATGGTCAAGAAGGCAGTTTCTGCACATGCTGTAGAGGGAACCGAGGAGCAGATGGGGCTCATCAACCTGGAAAGGTAGCCCATCTAGGAGAAGAAAAACTCTGGTCCTAAACATCCACTGCCTTGCAGGATATCTTTGGAAGAAGAAAAGCCTAAGGAGTAAACCCTACACAAATCTGGAGTCCTTAACACAATTGGATGGCACCTTGTATGCCTCCTTCTGGCAACTCCTGCAGCCAAGCTGGTGCCAAATGTATTGCTCTGCTTTTCTTTGGACCACATCAGTAAGACCGAGAGGGGGAGGATCTTGTCATCTGGGCAGCCCAAGACTGCCATACACACACTGCCCACGCTTGTGCCCTGGGGAGGTCATGTCGGTGCTAACACAGCAGTTTGTCTCCAGCAGCACTCCATCGTTTCTCGAGACAGACATATGCCAACAAGAAGTAACAAACAAAAACAATACCCACCCACCACCCACCCACCCAATAATAATCATATGTATGCTTTCAGAAACATTAGTGCCCATACAATGATTGTGTCTACTGCACAGAGTCCCCCTCAGATGTGGCAGGGACTGCTTACTATGGGATAATTAACATCTACATTACTCCTTACCTAAAAATGAAACCTCAAAATATTTTCTTTACAGATATAAATTATACCTCTCTGCGTTTGCTGAAACAATGGCTTCAGAGTTGAGAAACTTTGGACTAATTTCTGACAAATGCTAGGAAGCTGTAATGATTCATACATCTGACGTTTCTCTTTTAACACATGGTGACTCTCTTTGAACAAGCTGAAAGAAGAAAAAAGCTACAATGAAAGCAAACAGTAAACAAGGTGAGTGGATTTTCAAAAAAAGAGAGAGATGGAAAGGTCAGGGGTGGTTTAATGAGGTAAAGGACAAAACATTGAAAAGATGTACCTTCTCTGCCTAAGCTAGAATCCATTATAATATATTTGCTGGGTAATACCTGCCAATGGGCATGACACAAACATGACAAATTATAGAACAGAAAGAACGTAACATTGAGCCATATAGGGACAAAACATTTAATACATCCCTCTACCTTCCTTTTAAAAAAAATCCCCATCCTAAAATGCAGTATAGAGGATCTTGCATTAATTGCAATAAAACAAAGACATGTGACATTAAATGCAGAAAGGTAGCACAGTATGTATATTATAGGGTTGACATATGTCCAGAATTTCCCAGACATAACCGGAATTTGGCCATCGGAAACAGTGCCTGGGCAGAAATCGCCGAAATGTCTGGGAAAATCCAGACGTATGGCAACCAATGTCAGAAGTGTAGATTCTGGCAAAATTCCTTAAGAATAGCTCAGCATCTTTGCAAAAAAACCCACCACCACAACAAAAAACAAAAACCTCAACAACTTCTGTATCTGTATTTTCACTTTTTGAAATATGGCAACCTTAGTTCAATGGGAGATTTGCCAAATATTTAAGTGAAGTCAGAATTGCACCCTTAGACTTCAGTAAAGTATCTTAAGATAGAGATAAAGCTTTTAAAATAAATATTTCTTCCTTGATAAAAAGGTATAAAGGCAATGCTATTCTCAACTACAACTGCAATGGCAGTTCAGAACTAGCCCCTCTTATTCAAGTGCTGATCAGAAGATCTGCACTGACATTAGAGTAATGCAGGAGCTACTTTCTACTGTTATAGAGCACTGACAATAACTATTCCCTCTCCTCTGGGAACTCTAGTGTTATTTTTTGGGGGAGGGGGACTCACATACAAGATAATGTAAGGAATCAATACAATATAATCTGCACAATCTTCCAACACTACAGCTCCTATTATTCTTCAGGGAAAGCCTAGGCAGTTAAAGGGGTATAAACATGATATATGTTTGTTGTGCAGATATGTCTGAATGTTTATATAGATAGGATTATAGCATTACAGTTTACGGGACTTGTTTATGTGTGATAAAATCAATTTTAAAATATTGCCTTTCATCAGATGCTTTCCTTGCTTCAAGATCTTTTGCATTTTCCTTTTCTATCACTTCAGGATTGTGTTGATCTTCTTTAATCTTTTCAATTTGCTAAAGAAAAATTATATAAACAAATGATATAACTGTATCCATGGACAGTATTCAACTAACTTCTTGTACTAGTTCAAGGATTAGCACTAGTTTAAGGGGATTCCCCCCCCCCCGCTCTCATGGATTGGAGGAACCCCCAGAATAGATTTAGGGAGTACAGAGATGAGGAGACGGGGACAGAATCTTCTACCACAAAGGGAAAAACCCTTGCACTAACAGAATATTCACTGTAGCATTATGTTTAATACAATGCCCCTCTTTTATTATGCACTACAGGGCACCCCATAGGCTTCACTGAAAAATCTGGTGGTTCCTTAAAAGTTGTAAAGTTGCTTCCAGCATAGAAAGGCAGTCTTATTTTTCCATGACTTGTCTACACTAACCCAAGAAACCCAAGGGTCTATCTCTGCTTGCCCTTGTTTAATTAATGGCACCTTTCCACCTTAAAAAGCCCTCAGAATGACTTAGACCAATAGTAAAATAAAAAAGGAATCAATTACAGTAGCTTAGATTCAGAACTTGATCTACTCACAGGAGAACACGTGCCCTGACAAAAGAAAGGGAAGCAATTTTCACTGATTCCCACTTTCTACTGCACATAGCCCACTATGAATCTGTTATTGAGAGTTGTGGGAACCTCTGAAGCAGTATAGAAGGTGGGGAGGCTACAGGGAACTAGTAAAAATCACCTTCATCTGTCAGATTGCAATCACTTCTGTAAATGAAAGGAGCCCTTTTGTTCATGGGAGGGCATGACAGGATCTATTACATTTCTTTAAACTTATTAAAATCAGAATCTAAACTACAAAAAAAATTATTAAGTTTTAAGACAACAACCTATTAGGAAAGGTCATCTCTCTATCACCACCACAGAAGCCTTCAAATGGGCTCTATGCTGTTTTGGCTGAAATTTTCAGATGTTTTTCTTCATTTGCACTCTTATCTTTGTTTCTGCTGTCTCATTGCCTGTAGCTACCTAGTAATCCACAAAGATGTTTCAACTCTGGCAAGAGGGAAAGGGTTCTAGGGGCTATTGCGCCCACTATTTGAGTCTGTGTACACACCATACATTTAAAGCACATTTCTTGCTCCCACCCTATAAAAGGAATCCTGGGAAGTGTAGTCTACCCCTCACAGAGCTACAATTCCCAGCACCCTTAACAAACTAACATTGTCAGGATTCTGTGGGTGGGTGCATTAAATATATGTTGCATATGTAGCCTAAGTGAGTTCCAAAGTCCACCACTACAGCTTATGGATAGTAGAATCAGCAGAATATGCCTGCAATGGACAGTAGTATACAGCCAGCTGAATACTTCCCCAGTCTGGCAACTAACCTGATGCATTAGTCTCTGGAAGTCTTAAGTGGTCCTCCACCCTTGTGGAGGCTTGAGGAACATATAAAACCAATCTTAGATCTCTATGGGGTATGTTCAGAAAAGCAAGTGCTATAAAGAACCCTGTTGAAAGGGATTGAAAGGCTCTGAATCCAGTTCTTCAAAAGCTATATGGGCCTGAGGCCCAAGTCATTGTTGTTGTTTAGTCATTTAGTCGTGTCCGACTCTTCGTGACCCCATGGACCAGAGCACGCCAGGTCATACATTTATTAATAATGCTATGTACAACATACTTTGCCTGACACGTACAATATTTTTACAGGTGCTACTGTGTGGCATGACACTAGACTATGCAGAACCTTTCAGACTTTTTAGTGGGAACTGATATACAGATTTTAAAAAGCTGACCTAGCCTGACCAGTTCTCCTTGTTCAATAATAATGCATGGATCAGACTACATTGTGAATAGGATGCAGGATTTTAGGCGTTTGAAGGGGAGGTATGCTAGGTGGTTTTTAATTCCAACTCTGGCAAGAGGGAAAGGGTTCTTTTGAATTGCTATAGGTATGTGTGTGACTGAAATGAGGGTGTTTATGCTGCTTGTGACTGTGTGAATATGACATGGCAATATGGCCTTTCTTTTACATTGATTGAAGAGAAAGAGAAAGAGAAAGAAACCAGAACACTGAGCAGTGAAATGGTTCAAATCTCTGCTCAGCCATGAACTCTGTGGGTAGCCTTAGGCAAGCCACTATTTCTGAGCTACTGCCCCAAATCTGCAATAGGGGACAATAATGGTGACCTACATACTCAAAAGATAAAGGAAAAAGAATTGTAGCTGGAGCTATTAGTGTCTTCAATAAAATGTAGTGTAAAGTTTTCCTGGCAACAACAAAGAAATTTCATTGACATTTATATATTATCTCTCAGTTCCTTTATTTAACTTCTAATCAGTCAACCACTATGTAGCTGGGTCTTCAGTCTCTCTCCGCCCCCCCCCCATGTCTGTTGTTACCTGTCAGATTCTAAAATCCTGTCAGGTGCTTAACATAGGATGAAGATATTTCTTTTGAATTTGTGGGAGTTGGGAGGCAGTGGGGCTCTGTTGAGAGGTGAACTGGTGGAGAGCATCAGGAACAAGGAACTGCATCGGGGGGGGGGGGGGTCAGGATTTGCTAGATCTGAGTGAAATGAGAGACCTTGGGTGATTATGTTATCTGATGTGTGGGTTGGGTATCATCCACAATGCTTCAGAGGAAATGAGGAAATCCCATTTTGTCATCTTAAAATAGTAAGAACACAATAATTACCAACTATGGAACAGAGCTTGAAATAATGCAATATATCTTTAGCAACTGTGAGTGATATAGTAGTGTTTTAGCAGATGGTAACATAGCATGGAATTTAAAAGGCATTTTACCTGTTTAAAATAATAAATTTTCATTTGTAGTTCTTCTGCTGTTTTTTCTAGTTCAAGTGATTGCTGCCTGAGAACCACTGCATGCGTAAGAATTTCTTTTGTGTTGTGCCTCAAAGAAGCACTTTCTTAAGTTAAGGAATCAATAAAACATACACAACAAACAGTCAAAGTAAAATGCTAAAGGGAAACACATTTTAGTGTGCTCACTTGGATTTAAGCCTTTGAAATAAATGAACTTGTTCACACTTACGTTGTTTAACTTGGGTAACTTTTAATCTCAACCCAGATTCAGCCACATTTGTGCTGAACATGTTGTCTGAATCATTTGCTATTAACCCAGACAGAAATGTGCTGGAATCCACATTTGGATGATAAACAGTGGCATGCCATGCAATATTTAGGGCTTAATGTTCAGATAAACCACTTATCACAGCCTTTGTTCATGCCTGATGGAGGGGACAGTTGTCATATCACAACTGTGCTGGTTGTGTGAAATGAGTTCTAGTATTTCAACTGAACTGAACTGAAGGATTGAGCTTTCAGTGTCCTCCTGTGGCTAAAGAACTGGATATGAACAACATGTAAATCCTTAGATTTATTACATTGCTTTGGGCAAGCTGAGGCTCGGCTCTGCTTCCGAAAATCTAAAACAATGTTAAGAACGCTATTGCAAGAATTAAGACCATTCTGAATAACAACTAGCACAAAAGGCCTTTGTGTATTCAATCTATAAACATCATACTTATCCCATTTTTATCCCACCCTATCCTGAAGATTCATGGTGAATTATATATGACAAAAATGTATCAGTAATAAATGCACAGAACTTTTAGCATTTATTGTAAATAATTTAGAACAAATCTTTACTTGTGAATAGCAAATAGAGCAGTAAATAGGGCAGTTTTGGTTAAACTAATATTTCTTCCTTGCTCATGACTTGTTGATTACAGTAGCTACATGGCCTGAACTATAGGATTTGTTCTTACCCCTCTACGTCAATTACAGTTCAATAGACTTCTTTAAGAGCTGGAACACAATGTAGATACCTATGTTTTTCAACATCTTTCAGCAATCATAAAGTCAGTAACAAAGACAAGAAAAACTACAGCGCAACTATTAAACAGACAATTTTTAAGCTGAGTATACGGATACATCTGTAATGCCCACTGCAAAAGTGACTGGAACGGACCAGGTTCTGGAGGAAGGAAAGTTGTTCATGAATTAATCTCATTTTTACGCATTTTGGGTAAAAACTGGTCACAAAGGTTTTTAAAAATAGCTTTTCATTCCAGATTGTGCTATATCATGTTCTCACCATGTTAATCTGCACAATGGATCCTGTTTTGGATCCATTGCTATTGCTTGAGGCTCAGGTGGCCTCGGTGGCACGAATCTGGTCAAGGATAGCCTAACGTCTGTCGTCTATGCTCTTGTAACCTCTAGGTTAGATTACTGAAACGTGTTATACATGAGGCTGCCTCTGAATGGTTCAGAAACTGGCTGGTGCAGAATTCAGTGGCCAGATTGTTAACTGTGGCAAGATGGTTTGAGTATATCATTCCAATCCTTGACCGACTGCACTGGCTGCCAATTAGTTTCCAGGTTCAATTCAAAGTGATAGTTTTAACAATAAAGTTTTACGGCTCAGAACTGCAATACCTCAAGGACTGCCTCTCCCCATATGAACCGACCCAGACCCTGTGATCATCATCAGAGGCCCTTCTTCTTGTGCCTCCTCTGTGAGAGGTCCAGAGGGTGGCAACACAAGAACAGGCATCTCCTGTGGTGGCTCCCCATTTGTGGAACACTCTCCTCAGGGAGGCTCATCTGGCTTCTTTGTTACATATCTTTAGGTGCCAGGCTAAAACATTCCTGTTCTCCTAGGTCTTTGGCTAGTTAAACTATATACACCTTTTAAATTGGGGGTACTGTTTTTGTTTATTATGGTATGTATTTGTTGTTATATTGTGAACTGCCCTGTGATCTTCAGATGAAGGGCAGTATAGAAATTAAATAATAAACAATGACAATAATTTCAGGTGGATTGTAGGGCAACTGGCCCTTCTGATCTGGGCATACCCTTAAAGAAAAATAATCCCAACTCACTGCAATCTGTTGAATTAACTTTTAGATCCCTTCCAAACTCTGTTTTATTTCTGTGGATGAATTCAAAGCATTTTGGCTTGCCTTCCAGAATGTTTTCCCCTCTCCTCCTGTCATGTGCCATTCTAGTAGTTTTCCCCGCAAAACACCCAGACCCCATTTTGTGGGGGTGCACAAGAAAGAAAGGCTAAGAACCTCATTGCACAAGCAGAAGGCCTTGCACCGGGCTTCCACTGATAGAATTCATTAGGTGAATTCCACCATGTATCTTTTATTTCAGTTGGGATAACTGGCATTATAGAAACTATGTTTTTACCTCGAAGCTCTATCACTTCAGCTTCTTTCTTTTTAAGTAGCTCAGACTGCTTCAGAACTCGGTTTTGGATTTCTTCAAATTCATTTTTTTCCTGGTGATATTCCTGAGCAATGGCAGTTGCTAAATATTTTTCTTGGTGCTGTTTAAAAGTCTCTTGATACTGAGTTGTGTAATCCTGGTACATTTTCCTTTTAAAACAAGGAAATACAATCACCTGCCTTAGACACCACTTAACTATCTTTTCAAAGCAAGGCCAGTACTTGAGACAATTACTCAGTTCAACACAGGGGAAATTTGAAAAAAATATGTGTTGCCTTAACTGAACTACAACATAGTTGGGAATATGAGAAACCACCTGTATTTTTCTATTACTTTTCAGTGATAGGATGTAGTCAGCAATTGCCATTGAAGTGGTGGTGTACCCCAAAATATAATTCTCCATTAAAGAATAGATCCTTATCTTCCTGAGTGTTCACATTTTTATAGGTAAGAAATTCATTGCTTATAATCAGCAATATTTTATGGAAGTCTTAATATACAGCTGTCAAACATTTCTACATACTTGTCTTTTTCTGTTGATTCCTGGTAATTCTGAAGTTCCTTCTGCAAATATTCTTCATGCTGACTAAGAATCATGTATGTTGGTTTCCAGCTAAGGTAACAAATTTAAAACTACAGTAAGAATCTAATTATTAAAAGCATAGTTTAATTATATTCATAAGTAACAAAACCATCATAAAAATGGGTAATTCATAACAGCACCTTTCTATTTACACTCTCCCTTCTTGCTACCAGAAGATAATGTGATGATGTCCTCTGAGAAACAGGAACCCGGGATATACTTTTGGCTCACAGTCACCTTTGTGAGCCTAAGCTAAAACTTCTGTGCTTTTCTCATTGATTTCAATTGCATGTAGCTTGTATCCAGTGTAAAGTTCAGTACTAACATGTGTACCAACTTTTCATATCACAAAATACTCACACTCAAAAATACTCATTAATACAATAAAACTAACTGGAACCCAGAAAACCTTCTCAGTTGCTGCTCTCAGACCCCAGAACTCTTTGCCAAGGGAGGCCCAGTTATCCGTGTCTCTGATGACTTTCCACTGTTTGGCAAATGCATTTTTATTAATACAGTACAGTCCTTTGACCCATATGCTGATTTGTAAGTAAGTTGTGGTTGGCTCGAAATGGTTATTTGTCTGGTTTTTTATGTTTCTCAGTTTGTATTTTATTGCTGTTTTATTGTATTTTGATATTTTTATTATACAGTGAAACCTTGGTTTACAAACTTAATCCGTTCTGGAAGTCCGTTCTTAAACCAGAGTGTGTTTTTCCATAGCAGAAAGGGACTCAATTTACAAATGGAACACACTTAACAAGAAGTGAAACATGTTCTGCTTCCAAGGCAAAGTTCACAAACCAAAACACCTACTTCTAAGTTTGCAGCATTCTTAATCCAAGTTGTTCATAAACTAAGCTGTTCTTAAACCAAGGTACCACTGCATTTGTATTATTGCTGCTAGCTAACTGGATCGCCATTTGGCAGAAACATAGGATATAAGTGTAACAAAGAAAGAAAGACATAGCAGTAGTTAAGAAACTTGTGTGAACCATGCAGTGCTGGATTACCAAATAGACTGAGTAGGCACTGGCCTATGGGCCCCACACCTTTTAGGGGCCCCACGACAACAGATCAAAGTAATATTAATTTGATCTTGAAAGAAAATTACAACCAAGCTTTCTTAGTTCAATGTTATCCCACTAAAGCACACACACAAGGGACCCCCCAAGTTTGAGACTGCCTAGGGGCCTCTGAAAGGGTTTAATCCAGTCAGACCCATTCAGACCTCTACCACCCATACGCAGTATGTAAATAATAATACTGACTGACCGAGTTGCTGTAAGATTATAGAGATAATGTACTGAAAGCACTTTTAAACCTCAGAAAGTGCTATGTATCTTCTCTGTCTATAACAAAATAACTTCACACCCCTTCTTACTAGCTAAATCCATAATTGCTTGATTACAAAGAGGTATATTATAGCCAATTGCGGTTTCAGAAATAAAGTTTTTACCATATACTTACGCATTACAATTCTCTCTACAGCTATTGTTTCGTTTGCGTAGGCTAGCAATTGCCTCCTTGTTTTTGTTAATTTCTTCTTGTAGCTGACAGATCTCAATCTTTTTCCCTGCAGTATTTGCAGAATATACTGAAAGAAAATGTTTATTTCATGTTTGATGGAATTTAAGATCGGAATAGGTCACTGGGATACAAACTATACAACTGGAACCACCCAATATGTTCCAAGGTTAGAGCTATAGAGCAGAATTTACCTAACAGTCTCATCAGCAGAAGCTGTGCACAAAGACTTGCTTACACAACAAGACCTGCCCTCCTCTGCTCCCCACACACTCTCCCAAAATTAGTTTGGGGTTGGGGGAGAGGGTATAATTCTGACCAGCAAGCAGAAATGCTTGAACAGATAGAATGTTTGAAAGAGCTTGATGCTAAATTCCACCCAGAATGTTGGTCCAGCACCTTCTTATGCAGGCACAGGCAACCTCGGCCCTCCAAATGTTTTGGGACTACAATTCCCATTATCCCTAGCTAACAGGACCAGTGGTCTGGGATGATGGGAATTGTAGTCCCAAAACATCTGGAGGACTTTGGTTGCCTATGCCTGTTCTTATGGATACTGGAGGTCTACTATGCATCTGGAGCTCCCCTGCTTTCTAGGGCTGCTACATTTGTTTCAATAAGGTAGCAGGTCCTTGTGCATGGTGGTTTTTGTCTGTGTGTGTGTTTTTTGTTAGACACGCCTTTGGATAGACACCACAAGTTGTGAATCATAACCAATTCTCAGACCAAAAGTACAACTTCTCGACAATGAGGACCAGTTTCCATTACAACCCACCAAGGATAAGAGGAATGTTTCTATCAAGGAAAGGCAAAGGGCATGCAGAAGTATATATGAGAGCTTCAACTGCAACAAATGCAAGATTCTGACAAAATTTATGTATTAAAGTCGACTCACTCTGTATCTGTTGCCTCAAATGTTCCTTGGAGTAAGAGGCTTGCTGCAGCTGAAACACTGTAGCAGAAACATATAGATGAATGATATCATTGCCTTCAGATATTACGGTACTGTAAGTGTGAAAACTAATTTGCATTTTAAAACAGTAACTTAGTCACTTGAATACTATATTTTATTTCAGTGCTAGGTGTATTCAAGCTGTTTGCCTATGGCTTGCCTATATTAAACTATACCCTATCAGCTGCTTCCCCTCCTTCCGCATCCCAAAGCTGCTTTTCCTGCATTTCAGATGCATTTCCCTTATAAACATCCATCCAAACCTGTACAAAGCAGAAAACTGCTGATGGGGAAAGGAGAGGAAGAATTAAACCATTCCCACCATTCTTTGCTATTAATTCTCCTCTCTCAAATTTGCTTAGAAGTGACTGTTAGGACCTTATAACATGTAGTTTGGCGTCAAGTGTAATTCTATCTTAACCCAGTAACACAGATCCATATGGGACTCAGCTACATTAGTACTGTAAAGAAAAAGTGTTTTAAATGTGTTATAACACTGTGAGGCAAACAATATATGCAAATAATCAAAAACTATAGGTAACTGAAGGACTCTCCCTTGCTTGTTTCCAAAGCTGAACCACACGGCAACATACCAAGCTGTAGCAGTAGTTTGTTCAGGTTGTTTAACATGACATCAGCCATTTTGTAAACCTACATGAAGAGGGAAAAGAAAAGGAAGAACATAATAAAAGAACAAACTCACAATGACATAATAGCCCCACCAATACAAAATGAAAATTGGAGACAAATGAAAAGAAAACCCACCCCTTGCTGTAAAGGCCTGGGTGTAGGGTAGTAAAGTATATAAATTCTATTATTATTATTATTACAGGCTATGCTAGCGCGGGAGATGCTTTGTAAGGCAGGGGTGAAATTTTCGTGAAAAAGGAGGGAATATGAAGCTAACATTAACCCTCTTGTAAAATTATCCCACTTTGTCTGAGGCAGTTTTTTCCACTGACCTGTTCGTAATGATAGCTGGAGTCTTTAACCAGCTTTTTACCATTAATAAATTTTAATGTATCTGAATAAGCATCACAAACTTTCCAATGTTAAAAGTGTTCAAAGTTACACTCCACGTTCACCAATCTTTTGCCCATCATAAATGTTTTCACAGGTAACGATAAACACAATCCTTAAATGATCAGTCAGGAGGAGTGCTTAGCACGACAGCGACATTTTTGTCTAAATTCAAAATTAAGTCAGGTGTAAAGTTTCCAGACCACATAACATGATGGTTCTGGGTGAAATCTGCATTTCTACAAAACCCTGTTTCTTTCTTTGTTTGTTTATTAAATTTCCATACAGCCCCCTCAACCGAAGGCCACTTTAAAAATACTTTCAAACTACAGCCTTCACCCCCAACGTGATTTAAAGGCAGTCTGACAACAACAGTAATAAAAATAGATTTTAAAACCCTATTGATGACAAAAAAAACCACTACAAACACGGTTTCAGAAGAACAGATAAAAATAATCTGCGGCGTGTATGGCACCAGACCTGCTGTCCTTCGTCAAAAAACAAAACAACCCCCCCCCACTTCGTTTAGGGGGGGTCCTGTTTATTCAATGGGGGCAGTAAGGCTCACAGGGAGGCTGAGAGTCAACCTCTTAAAACACTGTTCAGCAGAAAGCAAAATGGCGCCGCCCTGGAGGGGGGAAAGCGCGGGAAAAGCTGAGGAGGCGGAGGAAAGACGCGCGTTTCTGAGGCGCTGCTCGCGGTGCTTTAACCGCCGTTTGGCTGCGGTGATCCGCCTCAGGCGCTCGGCAGCCTGTTTCCCGCCTTTATTTTAAGTCCTAACGGCAGCGGGGCGGGCGGGGGAGGGGAGCTGCGCCGCCTGAGGAGATTCATTTGGCGGGAAGCCCTGAAGGGGTTGAGCCCGCTGCGTCCAAGAAGGCTTTGCTCCCTAGTCACTCCCTCTGTGAAGCTCCCTGGGCTCTTTGGATTAAGGGGTGGTATACAAATTTAAATGGTGGTGACGAGAAATATATAAAAATAACGACGACAGTATTCTTCTCCAAACTTAATAGGGTTGACATATTTCAAAAAGTGAAAATCCAGACACAAAAGTGAGTCTTCCAGGAAATTCTGGACATATGGCAACCCCATGACCAAGCACCTTCGGGTGAAGGGCAGTATACAAATTTAATAAATTATTAGAATTATAATCTACTAAATTAGCAACAAGAGTATTCTCCAAGCACATTTGGATGGAGGGCAGTATACAAATTTAATAAAAAAATTATTATTATTATTATTATTATTATTATCATCATCATTATCTATATTAACAACCATAATCTTCTCCAAGCACCTTTGGGCAATTCCCTTGCCATGACTCAGATTGCATGTCTGCTTGATTCCCTGGGCAACCCCACAAGAAGAGTGCAGTTCTAAGCCATATTTGCTCGGGATTAAATAAATGCACACTTTTTTAAAAAAAAAAGATTGAAGTATTAAAGAGTACTACTACCGGCCACTTAAGTGTGTGGTTCTTGGCTGAAATGGTTCTAGCTGAAAAAAGCCCTGTATACAGTCAATGTTAACAGCTATGATCCTGGAGGAAGAAGTATCCATTTTTCCAAAGTACATAATACTGTGGTTTGACTACTAGGAAAATGCAATATCATACTGCACCAAAATTGGGAAATTAAAGGTGGTCATGAGTATAGCCCCAAAGTTTTGAATACATGACTGAAATCAGTGGGAACAGATCTCTTTGCATTTGTTTTTTTTAATGAATCAACTCACTTTCTCTTCCTTTCTCTTTCCCCAAATACTCTTGAAGAAAAGCAATGAAGATGCTCCATCTACTGGAGAATTAATGCAGCATATCCCCAGACAATTTCAGGCAGCTGCCACGTATGTGCTGATGACAACACATGCACAGATGACAGCTTTGGTGAATTGAAGTTCAGTGTGGGAAAACAAATCACAGTGGCCAAGCTAGCCAAAAGACACTTGGAAGCCCCACAAGCAGGACACGAGGGCAATGACTATTTCTCACCCTTATCCAGCAATTGGTATTTCTCACCCTTATCCAGCAATTGGTATCTAGAGGCTTGTTGCCTCTAAACCTGGAGGCTGGTACCCACTGGCAGCTACTGGTAGGCAGAGTCAGGGATCACAGTTGTTGTTGTTTAGTCGTGTCCGACTCTTTGTGACCCCGTGGTGGAGTCAATTAATTGTGATCTTCTTCCCACCCACCTCCCTTGCAAAGACACAAAGGACTGAATACAAGGTTGCAGCCCTATGCAAGTTTATATCATAGAAGTGTAGAGTTGGAAGGGACGCTGAGGCTCATCTAGTCCTATGTCCTGCAATGCAGGAATCCCGACTAGAGCATCAGATGTTGTTTTGGGGGAGTGCAACCAGTTTGGTCACACTGGGCATAGAGCCTTGGGGGTGCTGCTGGGGACGTCACAACTATGATTTACAATGGAGCATGAGAGGTGTAAGAGTGCCGAATTTTAGTGGCGCCAGTGAAATTTGGGGCCCCAAGATCTGCCACTGAAAGCATCCATGACAGATGGCCATCCAACATCTGCTTAAAAGCCTCCAATGAAGGAGAGTTCGCCACCTTCTAAGGCAGTGGTGTCCAAACTTTTTTCAAAGAGGGCTAGATTTGATGAAGTGAAGGGCCGTGGGGGCCAATCAATGTTGTTGACCTTTTTTTAGGATTGAAGAGTTGCTGTGCTTTTTTAAAGGGTTGGAGTTGTTGAGCTTCTTTTAGGATTGAAGTAGTTGATGGTTTTTTTAGGATTTTACCCCAGGAAATAAACTGCCATGGGGACTGGATTAAACCAACCGGCAGGCCAGATTAGGCCCCCCAAAATGGACTTTGGTCATGTCTGTTCTAAGGGAGTCCGGTCCACTGTCGAACATCTCTTACCATCAGAAAGTTCTTCCTGTTGTTTAGTTGGAATCTCTTTTCTTGTAACTTGAATCTATGGTGAATGGTACACCTATGGTAGTGAATGGTAGTAAGCCTCATTGAACCCAGTAGGATGTACTTCTAAATAGATCACGCCACCTCAAGGCACTTTATTGACCCAAGGGCTGTTGTACCACATTCTTTGCCAGACATGGAAGCAACTGCTGGGTCATGTGTGAGCCGTGCAGCACTTAAAATTGAGTACAGTTGTTACTGTCATAATTCTATCCCCAAAGTATTCTGTGTCATTATAAGGGATCCCAGGGTCCACCCCTTAGATTCCATGCAGCTTCGCCACAACACATACATTTTCCTGCCCCAAGCAACCTCATGAGTTGCTCGCCCAATTGAACTGGCAGAGAGAACAAATAGGAAGAGCATCATGGGTGCACATGGTTGGGGAAGCAGATTGTTTAATGAGAAAGAGGGAAGTAAAATGTGGTAGTCTAAAACTGATGGTCAGGCAGGAGATGAAGGAAAGATGCAGCAACTGGAGAAGGAGGAGGAGAAAGCACACTGGAAGTGAGATATGGGCAGATGCAATGAATTAATTCTGCTCAAAATGTAGCCTATTGTCAGTCACAGACAGGATATGTTGCCTGGGGAAATGAAAACTCACGCATCAAGAAATGCAGGAGGAGCATGGAGGAAGCACTGACTAAACTGACCTTAGGTTGAAAACACAAAGAGACAGAAAATGAATCAGACCAACATAATTGCATAAAAAGAGAGGTTTATTTATAATATATACAGTATGTTTTAATACACAGTTGCTCAAATTTGGCATTGAAAAACACCACACTGAATATACTGTTATATAGGCATCAGCATCTGTACTAAGATCTCTTCGTTTTATTCTGATTTGCTTATGGCATCGTTGTCTGTTTACAGTATTCTGTCACCACCTCACCACCCTCCCTGCTGCAGTTTAAGGCACTTGTTAATGTCTTTCTGTCACCAAGCTTCTTGTTTCATGAATGTCTCACAAATGAATCATGCATATCCAGCCTAAGGCTGCAATCCACACACTTCCCTAGGAGTAAACCCCATTGTAGTGGGACTTACTCCAGAGTATACATGTATAGGCTTACATTGCAGAACTCCTTTTGCTGCTCTGATCCATACTCATCAGAGGAAACAGGTGTACATTTCTTAACTGTCCCTAAACCAGGTATGTCCAAAGTCCATTTCGGGGGCCTAATCCGGCCCAACAGTTGGTTTAATCCAGCCCCTGTGACAGTTTATTTTCTGGGGTAAAATCTTCAACCCTAAAAAAAAGCTCAACAACTTCAATTCTACAAAAAGGTCAACACATATATTAAGTAAAAGAGAAACATCACCACCTGTCCCCGCCCCACTCACCTTTCCCCCATCCACCTCTTTCTCCCTTTTTCTTCCTAATGTAACACTAATGCCTCAACAAATGAAACTGATCTGTAAAAATGTAGCTGGGGTGGGGAGAGACATTGCTCATACTTTTGTAAACCAAGAAAATCTTTAATAATAATAATAATACTGTAATAATAAAAGGTCAACAACTTGGGTTGGCCCTTTGGTCAGCCCTCATGGCCCTTCACTTCATCAAATCTGGCCCTCTTTGAAAAAAGTTTGGACACCACTGCCCTAAGCCTTACACACAAGCAGTTTTGTGTTTGTTTTTTAACATCTGAGCAATTGGAATGCTGATGAACATCCTGTAACACTTCAAGAGCTGAGCTAGTGCAATAGATGAATACAGTAATAGAATCATAGAGTCTTAGAGTTGGAAGGGACCTGAGGGTCATCTAGCCCAACCTCATGCAATGCAGGAATCTCAGCTAAAGCATCCTTGACAGATGACCATCCAACCTCTGCTTTAAAACCTCCAAGGAAGGAGAGTCCACCACCTCCCAAGGGAGACCATTCCATTGTCAAACTGCTCTTACTGTCAAAAAGGTTAGTTTCTATTCAGTCAAGGAAGAACTCTTGCAGTTGATTGCTATGGAGATTAAAAAAAAAACAGAATCCTATGTTTACCTCAGTCCCCCTCCCCTTCCATTTTCTTTACTCGTTTGTATCTGATTGCGTCCGTTTGGCAAAAAATACTATTTTCCTTGAAGAAGGATAGCATTCAGTGCTTTAATTGATAGTTCATTCATCTCCCCTCAACTATAGTAAGTGCCCTAAAACATTATTGAAAGCTGGCTTTGACAGTGTGGATAAATTCACGGATAAGAACTTATGCAATTGTTACCCAGCAAGATAAGTTGATGGTTACTCTGACAATGGAACATCAATAGCATAGCTATGAACGGGGGGCGGGGGGGCGTGTTTGGAATCCCAGACAGAGAAGCTGATAATTGCCATCCAAGGTCAGATATGAATTACAAGTAATATACAGCAAATTCATTACTGGAACTACTTACGATGATGACAATGCCATAAATGTTGTTAACAAAGAGGACCAATTGATTGCTCCATCATGAAGTGCCTTAAGTTGTCAAATACTGATTACAAAGGCCCACAACTAAATAGTAGAAATGAAAATCCTTCATACGTTTGGATGAGCAATGTCATCTCTAGTATAAATGTTCTCGCCATAAAAGCACATCATGAAATAATTCACTCTTATTTTATTGAGGCAAGCCAGTGATTAACAAGGAAACAGTGGTCTCCGATAGGTCAAACACTGAAGTTATGGATGGTCCCCCCCCAAAAAACCCCCCAATTTTACTCCTGAGCTGAGGAAATGCCAAATGCGGTTGTAGAAATACTGAATATCAAAGTGTACACACATAAATTAAGTTGTTTTAGAAAGCAAATACAATAACCTCAATTTTCCCAGTGGAAGAGGGGATGAGATATTCATTTTTAAATGGGAAGGCTTGCTGCTCAGTGTCTCAAAAGCTTCAATAGATGCAGTTTATGTGGTTCCAATATTATTTCAGCCATCATAAAGGCTGGAAATTTAATTTTATAATTGAGAGGTGATCTCAGTGTTCTTAAAATAACAGGTGTCATTGATAGTTGGCTCATAATGAGCCTAAGGCTTTTAGGCTTCCCATAATCTTCTGGTTGGACACAATGACAACAGGAAGCTGGGCTAGTCTGGCCATTGGCCTAATCCAGCAGGGTCAATTAATATTATTAATGCTATATTTTAAGCAGAGCCTGATACTGTCTATGGCAAGGTGGGAAATCTGGAAACGTCCAGATGTTGCTGAACTACAGCTCCCGTCATCCTTGACCATTGGCTATGCTGGCCACAGCTGATGGGAGCTGGAGTCCAACAATAGCAGGAAAGTAACAAGCTACCCACCCTTGGAGATTAGGAATGAGTTCTAGCTGTGCTCTACAAATCTCCTCCTCCTTTCAGTGACTCTCATTCCCAACACCCTTAACGGCACAGCTCCCAACGCCAAAACTGTATTTTAAGTGTTTTGTGTTGTTCTGTTACATGACCTGTTTGGAGGCTCATCAGACCATAGATGCAACTTTGTAAACAGATTCTGTAAAATCCAAAAAAGAATAAGACTATCATCTTTTAAAAGTTAATAAATCTGTAAATAAATAAATAAAATAAACGCAGGAGCTGGCTATGTATAATTCTTATCACAAGCACCCCCCAAGCAAGAAGCTCACCCCACCAACTTGCCTTGCCATTGCTGAACTCCTGTCATTATCATATGCTTTCCCCCTTCCCATCTTTTTTCTTGCAGCCACCACTGATTCTTATTGACCCAGGACAGATATTTATTTATGAATTAAGCACGTCAAACAATTGACAAGACCTGTGTATGCAAACAATATAGCCTTATGCCACTAATATTGCCAAACGTGAGCTACACAAGTTGCAGAAGCGGATGAGAAAACAATGATTAGGCAACACGGAGTCCAAAATTATATCTAATGGGAAGTTGCCTTCATATTGTCCATACAATTCCTTATCTCTTGTCCTCAATGGAAAACCGGCCTGGGAATCTCTACCGGACTTTCAACGGGTCCTTTTTGTCCAGGAAAAGAAGATGATAACGGCTTATACCACTTCACATTGTGTGGGGTGGAATAACATTTGTGAATGCTCACACATGCATTCCAAACCAAAACCTTTTACAAATAGAAAAGCAGAACAGCTGACAATGGGCTGGGCTAGAATCTTTCCCTTTGCCGTGTTAGCATCCTTCTGATACAGTTATTTTTACAACTCTTTTAAAAATGTGGTCTGTCCCGCCCCCTCCACCCGACCTAAAGTGGTGCAATCCATTGTGCCACCTCAGACCTTGGCCATTCTGCTGCAAATATATAGACCGGGCCATTGCTGTGATCCCTGAATGTGAATTTGGAAAGGTAAAGGAGCCCTGGACGGTTAAGTCCAGTCAAAGGCGACTATGGGGTGCGGTGCTCATCTCGCTTTCAGGCCGAGGGAGCCAGCGTTTGTCCACACAGACAGCTTTCCGGGTCATGTGGCCGGCATGATCTACTTCACATAGATTGTACATTTATAAGGTATCTCAAGGGTGCGCCTTTCCTCAAGGAAGGAGGAAAAATCTACACAGCAAATAAATAAGCAGGCAATGCAAATTAAACAAATGTGTATAAATTGACTTGCTTTCCGTTGATTGCCTGATCTTATTGTTCACGAATCCAGAAAACCAAACATAAAAAACACGATTGGGGAAGGTAAGCAATACTATCCACAGCATAATTCCTAAAAAAAATAGAGCTGTTTTGTTTCGTTTTAACATTTATATCCACTATCACGAACAGATTCATTTGTCTAAATAAACCAGTCGTTTGTTCTTTGACAACTGTTCCATTGACTCCAGAGATATATTTTTTTCTTTCTCCATCCTCCTGGGCTGGATTTGGTCTCATGAGCCTGCTGTTATGATATGCAAGGCGAACAGTAGGACTTTGAAAGTATTAAATGTTTCACGGATGACAAAGGGCCGCTTTCATCCCCATTACACTTGTTTGCTCCTTGACTCAGTATAATGGGATGTTGTGCTGGAGAGGCTTCCCTCCTTACGCAGGAAGAGGGGTATGTGAGTCACAGGGCAACATTGTACTTGGAATGACAGATTTGTCTGCTTAAACTGGGGAGATGCACTTCTGCGCTTAGAAAACAGTCAGCTTGCAGGAATCAAAAATTTAGCAAATGGCTCTCTCTTCTGTAGATCAACCTCAGATCTCAGGGAATTGCAACTCCCTAGCAAAGCTGCACAGAAACCCCGAAGTGATAAATGTGACGGTTTCACAGTTATGACTTTGCACTGTATTATTTTATGTCTCTGTTTTCCCTCCCTTACTCCTGCTATTTTTTTTCGTGCGTGAGAGAGAGAAATAGAAAGAGAGAGACAAAAGAAAAGAGAGTCTCTCCAAGAGACAGGGAATCAGGCCTTTCTTACAGAATGACAGATTCATCGGAAAGGCAACTTTCAGAATCCTTGGCGTCGCTACAGTTTGGCAGGAATCTAAACTGCTTTCACTTTTGACTTAACCCTAAGGGTCGGATAGGGACTGATTAAAAGAAGTAGCAGGTCTGAGGCTCATCCGTTGTGCTGGACTCTCCAATAGGCAGACTAAGTACACACTGTAGGGCAGCAACAAAGCAGGGGCACATTGATTTTATTATAATTTTTATTTTTTTAGAATTTGGCATTTCATTTTTTTTTTAAAGAAAAGGCTTCGAAGTAGTCATCATGGGAAGAATCAGAGCTTTATTTGACTTCCGTACACTTTTCCAACTAAACCAAGGGGCGCCCTATTAAGATAGATGGAAACAATGCAAGGAAATCAGATCCGGTCAAATGTTATAATAAATCCACGTTTTATTTTGTTGTGAATTTTTATTTTACGGGTTTAGTATTGCTTTTATTTTGAGCTACGGATGGCGGCACCATGGACGTAGCCAAGGTGAGGAAGGGGGGCAGCTGCCCCTCCCTCAAGTAAATAACTAAAAATACTTAACAAAGTGACTAAGCGCGTGGCATATAGCTCTGTTCTGCCCCTACTCGATTCTGCTACGCCCATGAGGGGCACCATAACTTTTTTGGTGCTTAGAGCCTAGAAAGGTTTTAATCCGGCCCTGGTCACCAGGGATATATTGCCTTATTTTAAGCCCTGACTTTTAAAGCTTCTGACCCGCCTCATCCGTAAAGCACAAATGGAGGCCCGTGCTGATTTGTTTTGTTTTTCATACCTTTGTCGTGACAAATGATCCCGGCGGCTGTTTTCACACGAGCCTCAACGTGGTTCTGAATGTTTGCCTTCTGAACGTTGAGAATGGCTTCACGCGTGCCTCCCAAAGCACCCTCGGCCCTCTCTTGTGGTGGTGTTTTGTTTCGCGGGTTTCTTGCGCACGTGTGAACGCTTCCTAATGCTAAATAATAAACAGGAGTGGGGTAGTTTGACACCCAACTCTATCCAAATTAGGCTTTTACGCACGCGTCCGCCTTGCTGCGACAGAAATTACGCAGGACTCTGCTTTGCTGCTGAAATTAGGACGGGCCTCAGTGCAGGAGCCAGTGGAAGTGAATATATAAAAATGCCTGAATGCGCTCGCTCGCTCTCTCTCTCTCTCTCTCTCTCTCTCTCTCTCACACACACACACACACACACACACACACACACACAGAGAGAGAGAGAGAGAGAGAGAGAGAGAGCGAGAGCGAGAGCTGCTGCAATGTATTAGATGTCCCTGCCTGTATACATAGAACTGCGGTCCGGTGGACAGAATCCGGCGCCATGAGAGCTTATTCCCCCCTGCCAGGACACCCGAAGGCCGTTTTTAATCCAGCTGTCCATAAAATCGAGGTGTGTGCACCTTAACACCGCTGGTCCTTGGAAGCGCAGAGGGCGCAGCGTGGATGGCGTGAAGAATCTGCTTTCCAGTCTCCTCCCAGCGTCACCGCCCTCCTCCGGCTCAACAACTGAGAAACTATTTTGACTCTAAATTCCACAGCACCCTCAAGGCTCCAAATCAATGAAATGATCCTTAGAGCAGAGCTAGTCAACCTGTTGACTCCAAGTGTTCGGGACTACAAACATCATCAGCTCTAACAATTGGCCATACTGGCTGGGGCTGAGAAGGGTTGGAGAACATGCGTAGGGCACCACATTGGCTACCCCTCCCTGCTTTATATAGAGAGGAGCATTTAAAATAGCTAGTATTGGTTAAACCAGGGTTTCCCAAACTTGGGTCTCCAGCTGTCTTTGGACTACAACTCCCATGATCCCTAGCTAGCAGGAGCAGTATTCAGGGATGATGGGAATTGTAGTTCAGCTGGAGACCCAAGTTTGGGAAACCTTGGGTGAGAGCAAATTCCCTTTCAGAAGTCTTCTGGAACATAGAAAGCTTCGCCTTGTGCCATGGGCCCATCTAACTCAATACTATCTGCACGGACTGGCAGAGACTCTTCTGGGTTTCAGGTAGGGGGTCTCTCCCAGTCCTACCTAGAGATGTCGCTGGGGATTGCACCTGTGACCTTCTGCATGTAAGGCAAAGGTTTTACCGCTCTGTTGAGGGGCAGCCCAGCAGTGGGGAAGTGCAACACCTCTCCACCTTTGTTGTGGTATTCAGCGGTAGACTTCCTCCGAACCTGGAAGTTCCCATTTAGCTGTCACAGCCGATAATCTTCTTCTTTACCATCACCAATTGGCCAAAAGCCATCTAAGTCAGTGGCTCAAAGCCAGTAGTACATGTAAAAGGGATCTAGAGGTCTTAGTAGACTACAAGCTTAACATGAGTCAACAGTGTGAAAGTGCAGCAACAAAAGCGAATGCTATTCTAGGCTGCATCAACAGAAGTATAGTGTTCAGATCAAGGGAAATCATAGTACCACTCTATTCTGCCTTGGCATACTGTGTCCAGTTATGGGCACCACAATTAAAGAAAGATATTGAGAAACTGGAAATTGTGCAAAGGAGGGCAACCAAGATGATCAAGCCTTATGAGGAACGGTTGAAGGAGCTGAGTATGTTTAGCCTGCAAAAGAGAAGACTGAGAAGAGGTATGATGTTGTTGTTTCGTCGTTTAGTCGTGTCCGACTCTTCGTGACCCCATGGACCAGAGCACGTCAGGCACTCCTGTCTTCCACTGCCTCCCGCAGTTTCATCAAACTCATGCTGGTAGCTTCGAGAACACTGTCCAACCATCTCGTCCTCTGTCGTCCCCTTCTCCTTGTGCCCTCCATCTTTCCCAATATCAGGGTCTTTTCCAGGGAGTCTTCTCTTCTCATGAGGTGGCCAAAGTATTGGAGCCTCAGCTTCACGATCTGTCCTTCCAGTGAGCACTCAGGGCTGATTTCCTTAAGAATGGATAGGTTTGATCATAGTACCACTCTATTCTGCCTTGGTGAGGCCACACTTGGCATACTGTGTCCAGTTATGGGCACCACAATCAAAGAAAGATATTGAGAAACTGGAAATTGTGCAGAGGAGGGCAACCAAGATGATCAAGCCTTATGAGGAACGGTTGAAGGAGCTGGGTATGTTTAGCCTGCAGAAGAGAAGACTGAGAAGAGGTATGATAGCCATCTTCAAATATCTGGACGGCTGTTCCACGGGAAATGGAGCAAGCTTGTTTTCTCTGGCTCTGGAGGGCTTCAAATTACAAGAAAGGAGATTCAGACTAAACATCGGGTGGAACTTTCTGAGAGCTGTTCGACAGTGGAACAGACTCCCACGAGAGGTGGCGGACTCTGCTTCCTTGGAGGTTTTTAAGCAGAGGTTGGATGGCCATCTGTCATGGATGCTTTAGTTGAAATTCCTGCACTGCAGGGGGTTGGATTAGATGACCCTCGGGTCCCTTCCAACTTTATACTTCTGTGACTAAATACTCTGTTGTATACAAGAGCTGGTAAACAGCGCGATCTTATACTTGGAAGTAATCCCATTGAATCCAACGGGTAGAGGGTTGAGCAATCACTATCTGTTTGCTAAAGAAATGGGGTCAGTTTTCTCAGAGCTAAGCGGTTGGCGGCCAATTACATGCGCCTATGCTTCATTCGCCAGTAAAATAATGGGCGCGATCCAGATATATTTAATGTACGCTCAACTCTCTTTCCCTTTGAAAGAAGTGGGAGTTAAAGGCGCAAACCCTGCTCAAGGCAAACATGTTAAACCCTATTTATTTCATCTGGAGTCATTTAACAAACCGCTTGATTCTCACTTTTAAATCGACGGCGCCTTTACAGTGTAGTCATATACGTGTCTACTCAGAAGTAATCCCTATTGAGCGCAATTTACCCCCAAGTAAGGGAGGTTATTGCAGGCTGGAGTGCTTTACTCAGACGAGAAAGGATCCAGCTTTTAACCCAGTCCGAAACACATTTACTTTTCTATAGGACGTGCAGCGCGACCCTATACCTACTTGCACGGAGCCACGTCCTACCGAGTGGTAAGCGTGAGAAGAATTGTAGCATGAACGTGCGCGCAATGCGAAATCGTTACCAATTTCGTATCCAGTCCTGTTAGAAGTAGGGCGCATTTCAGACGGAGATTGAGGACCTCACCCCAAGCAGACATCGCGGGGTGAAGAAGAAGCGACCCGGTACCCCACGGCTCCGGAATTCCTCTCTCATGGCAATAAACACCAACACAAAGTCGTTCAATGGCTGGCGTCTCCACCAGCCCAGTTCTTAAAATCAGCCTTTTTCGTTTTATTTTTCACGACTTATTTTGATCACACCGGTTCCAGTTCATTGTGGTTCTGGTTTAGGAACACCGGAAGCTTTTCAAGAGCGACTCAGGCCAACAGGTCATCTCGCTGGGCATTGCCACTACACCGGCAAGCGGCGTTTCAGGTTGGGTTTTCTCCCGGCCCTGCCGGGAAATGGTCGGAATTAAACCTAGAACCTTCTGCGCGAAGCAGTTTTGATAAGAGCCCTTCACTTTGTTTGTCCATGACTGGGAGAAAAGCAATGACAAACCTAAACAGCATCTTAAAAAGCAGAGACATCACCTTGCCAACAAAGGTCCGTATAGTAAAAGCTATGGTTTTCCCAGTAGTGATGTATGGAAGTGAGAGCTGGACCATAAAGAAGAATTGATGCTTTTGAATTCTGGTGCTGGAGGAGACTCTTGAGAGTCCCATGGACTGCAAGAAGATCAAACCTATCTATTCTGAAGGAAATCAGCCCTGAGTGCTCACTGGAAGGACAGATCGTGAAGCTGAGGCGCCAATACTTTGGCCACCTCATGAGAAGAGAAGACTCCTGGAAAAGACCCTGATGTTGGGAAAGATGGAGGGCACAAGGAGAAGGGGACGACAGAGGAGGAGATGGTTGGACAGTGTTCTCGAAGCTACCAGCATGAGTTTGACCAAACTGCGGGAGGCAGTGGAAGACAGGAGTGTCTGGCGTGCTCTGGTCCAGGGGGTCACGAAGAGTCGGACACGACTAAAGGACTGAACAACAACAAAGCGAAAAATAGCAAATAGTTTGACGGAATTGGCTTCGGAACCTGTGGATTGGGTTCTACTGGAGGCCGCAATGGGCCTCGAATCAGTTTCATGTTCTTTTAATTTTGCTATTTATTATTTCAGTTTTGCTCTGTAAGACTATTGCTCTGGTTATTGCTCAGGAAGAACTTTCCCGCTGTAAGAACTGCTCAGTCGTGGAACGGAAAGTGGTGTACTCTCCTTCACGGGATTTTTTAAAAGCAGAAGTAAGATGGCCATCTCTTTAGCTGGGATTCCTGAGATGCAGGGGGGTCGACTAGATGGCTCTGGGGGTCCCTTCGAACTCTCCGATTCTATACGTACACCGCTTGTGTGCTCTGCAGAAAAGTGTCTATAAAACCGGTCCGAACCCTCGGCGTAGCTGGACAGAGAAACCGAGTTGCATCACGTCCAACTCTTCTGCCTTCAAGAGGGCTAGACTCTTGATAAAAAGAAATGCTTACGGAATGGGGTCCGTTCCCCCCCGGCGCTCCCCGCACTCAGCGTTTGATTACGCGCGCACAAACACGCCCTGCCCGGTCTTGTTTCTCTGCAGTTCTCCTCCTGTCGTCTTTATGAAAATGAGCAATATAGAAAGGCTTTCCATCCCGCTAGCAGCAAGCCTCGCATAAATGATGAAAATGGCTCGGAGGGTTTTTTTTCAAGTGAACTGTGTAGATCTGTGAAAATAATATCAGGGTTTTCCGTCAGAATGAACTTAGACGCGAAGCCAGGCATGCCATAATGTGACCCGACACCTCCAAACCATCTGCGCTATGTATCCGCCGTCTGATTTACCAAATCTTTCCGGGAAAAAGTCACAGTGTGCTTGATACTAAAGAAAAGGCAGTAGAAGTCTCTCTCTCTCTCTCTCTCTCTCCTCCTCCCAAACAAACCACGTCGAATCGGAGGGCATTTCATTTTACGTCTGCGCGGGGACTGAGGAGTGTGTGAAAAATAACCAAGGCGAGGCTTGAAAACAGAATTGATTTATTTTAAACTTTAAATGTGAAAGGCCTGGCACTAATATAGAATTTAATTCCAAATTTCTGAGATTAGCTCTATTCCCTCTCCTCTCCTTTTCTTTCCAGAAGAATGGATGCTTGCTTATTAAAGACGGAAGGGGGAGAAAAGCAAAATAAATCGAGAGACAGTTTGTGTGGTTAAAATGTCACAGGCTGGGAACTGGGAAAGACCAGGGTTAAAATCCTCCCCAAGGTCGCTGAGTGACTTTGGACCACTCGCTGCCTCCCAGCCTGACCTACCTCTCAAGATTAAATGAGCCGGGGGAGAATCATAGAATCCTAGAGCTGGAAGGGATCCAAGGGTCATCTAGTCCAACCCCCTGCAATACAGGAATCATGTAGGCCACCTTGAGACTGTAAATAAATATCAGTTTATTCTATCTCGTTGCCCGAGACGCCATAAAACTGCAGATTCCAACCCTCCGGGAAACGATTTAATTCCGTTTGCTGACACCGACGAAGACGAAAATGTTGCTATTATTATTTCATGGGAAGGTAAAATAGTGGTTCGTACTTTCTTAGACTTCGCAGGGAGAAAGGGGAAGAAATATTGCGGGGAGGGGCCAAAATTATGACTAAAAGATGATCCATAATTTAAAAGATGCCTTTAAGTTGCTCACCCTGACCTACAAATGACTTCTCACTTCTTCCGCGGCTTTCCTGGGTGTTTATTCGAGGCTGCTCGAGCGAAAACAATGAGGTTTAAAATGGAAAGGATGGGTGCTAAATAAAGGAGAAAATGAATGCGGGAGGGAGGGAGGAACGGATCGGGAAAGGGTCGATCCTCAGCAGGCCCTGGAAGGCGGGCAGAGGCAGAGGACTGTTCGTTTCCCGTGGTAGTTTTCATGGGGGTGGCGTTAAACGTCTCCCCGCAAAAGAAAACATCTAGAACTCGGTCGAGAAGGGCTGAGCTCTGCGCCTGGGCTGAGCTCTGCGCACTTGGAACCGGGGAGGGCTTATCTCCAAGGAAAGATGCATAGGATCGCTGTGCGCGGGTGCCTTCAGCAAGTCTTGGCCAGAACCCAACTTCATGGGCGGCGTTAAGTAAGACAGCCTCAGGCCACCTGGTGCCCTCCATATATTTTGTACTACAACTCCCAAACGTCTGGAGTGCACCAGGTGGCTGAAGGATGTGTTAAGATTATTCCAGGTTCTCGCGCTGAGATTCTTCTTTTCCGCACTGCAAGCCCAACATCTCTTGGCCCGAACTTTCCTCCAAGGGTTCAAGGTTCTGCCCCAACCCCCTTACAAAAGCCAGTCCCATGTACGGTTCAAGGAACCCAATGGCTGTTGTTTTCCCCAAGCGCGCACCAGTTAGGCAGGAAAGGAATCTTAAGATGTCACTGGAAAAAGACCCTTTGTGTCCCTTCGCGGGTCATCCCAAAGCCAGGCGAAGAGGCTGAAAAGGTGGAACGTGTGGCTGGCTGCACGTAAGAGCGTGTCCGAGCTATATAGGCTGCCTAGATTTGGGCGGGTTGCGTGTGCATGTGCTGGGAATCACAGCTTGGCGGCGAGGCCTCTCCGCACACAAAGTGCCAACTTCCATCTCTGGCAAAGTACCAGGCGGCAGCTGATTTGAAATACCTTCCGCTTAAATCTCCAGAGAGAGCTGCTGCCGGTCGGAGTATGCAATACAGGATTAGATGGGCGAACAGTCCGACCCGGGTGCAATGCTTCTGTGTCCTAAATGAAGCCTCCGCCTCCTTTCATCAGGTTGCATGAAGCTAACTTTAAAAAAAAGATTCAGGTAGGTAGCCGTGTTGGTTAGAGACCAACTAAGTTTGTTCTTGGTATAAGCTTTCGTGTGCATGCGCACTTCTTCAGATACACTGCAACAGAAGTCACCAGAGCCTTATATACAGTGGGAGGGTGGGGTGGGGTTTTTCTCAGGAGGGTAGTAGGAGATGGGTGATTGACTCATTGCGTATGGTAAACCTGTTGACGCTACTGGACAATGTTTTTTGTTTTTTATTTTAAAAGAGACACATTTCCCTGTAATGAGATACTTTGGCGTAGGATCGCGGTGCTTTCCCTTTCCAGATCAGATGCTGAATGAGTTGGTTTTATTTCGGATTATATTTGGGAAAGTTGAGTGGCAGAGTTACCATTCCCTTTTCCTCGCGAAAACCACACCGCTTCGCCATCTCAGGCAGCGCCCGGTCCCGCCTGCGCCCTCTATCTGAATATAGCGCAAATCTCTTGCAAAGAAACACTGTCCCCATCACCACCCTTCAGTTCTCCCTGCTAGCGAAGGGCCAGTGCAGTGACTGGGCGCTGTCGACCGCGGGGAGGTGCTGAAAGGAAGAAAGGGAGAAGCGGGGAAAGGGCGGAGGACGCCCACCCTCCTTCTACAAGCGCGCTCGGAGCTGCTGCGCTAGCAGGATTTCGCTCTTTGATTGGCAGAGGCTTGGCAGTGATGGGCAGGCGGCCTGCCATGGAAACCGAGGGGGCAGCCAATCTGGCGAGGCCAACAGCAGCAAATCAGAAGCTGGAAGGGAGACCGAGGGTGCGGTGTGTGGGGGGGTGGTGGTGGAAGAAGCGGGGGGGCTTTCCCCTGTTTCCCCTCCCTCGCCCTCCCTCCTCCATTCACGCACAGGTCCCTCCCTCTTGCCAACTTGAGGCAGCCGCCGGAGCGCGGCGCAGTCTTTCTCCCAGCGCTCTAGCGCAGCGCGCGCGCGCGGCGGCCGCTGCTGCTGCTGCGAAAGGTTAGCCAGGCGAGCGCCTGAGGCGCGCAAAAGTAGGAGGAGGAGGGGACGGGAAGGGTAAGAGAGAGAGAGATGCTTTTTACCCCTTATCTCGAGGGCTGAAAAAAAAGAGAGAGAGCGCGCTGGCTTTCTGAACCCAGGAGAAAAGCGAAGAAGCGTGGCCTCCGCCAAAACCAGCGCCGCTGTTTGGAGAGGCTCGGCTCTGGGAGTCGCCTCCGACGCGTGGAAGAGTCGCCGCAACCCTGCAGCCCCATAACTAAGGGGCGAGGCGCCTGGACCCGCGGTAGAGGCAGCCCAGCCCGAGGCGCGGAGAAGAGGCTCCTCGATTCGGCGTTCCCCGCGGATTGCGCGCAAGAGGTGACCCGGAGAAAGCGTGGTCGCCAGCAGCCCAGCCATCCCTCTCGCCTGCCCTGGCCCCCTCGCCGGCCGCCTCCATGTTCCAGCTGCCCATCCTCAACTTCAGCCCTCAGCAAGTGGCCGGGGTGTGCGAGACCCTGGAGGAGAGCGGCGACGTGGAGCGCCTCGGGCGCTTCCTGTGGTCGCTGCCGGTGGCGCCGGCGGCTTGCGAGGCTCTCAACCGCAACGAGTCGGTGCTGCGCGCGCGCGCCATCGTGGCCTTCCACGCCGGCAACTACCGCGAGCTGTACCACATCCTGGAGAACCACAAGTTCCCCAAGGAGTCGCACGCCAAGCTGCAGGCGCTGTGGCTCGAGGCGCACTACCAGGAGGCCGAGAAGCTGCGCGGCCGCCCGCTGGGGCCGGTGGACAAGTACCGCGTGCGCAAGAAGTTCCCGCTGCCGCGCACCATCTGGGACGGCGAGCAGAAGACGCACTGCTTCAAGGAGCGCACGCGGCACCTGCTGCGAGAGTGGTACCTGCAGGACCCTTACCCAAACCCCAGCAAAAAGCGAGAGCTGGCCCAAGCCACCGGACTCACCCCCACGCAGGTGGGCAACTGGTTCAAAAACCGCAGGCAAAGGGACAGGGCCGCCGCCGCCAAGAACAGGTCGGTAGCGCACGGCGGGGATGGACCGAGGAGGAGGAAGATCTCGGGGGAGGGTGGCTGGCGGGGTGGCGACCGCGCCGCTGTAGATACACTCATATCCTTCCTAGTCTCTTGCGCGCACTCACGAGTTCTCCAAACACAGCTACGAAGATTGAGTTCCAGTTGCGCTGCTGGCACTGTAGGAAAAGGAGATGTTCCTCTTATCCCCCCCCCCCCGCTCGCTTGGCGATTTCTCCTTCTCGTGCCCCCACGTCCTCACCCCATTTTATTGGGTTAGTTGTTCCATGCCCAGGGGCCTCAAAGCGGACTAGCGCCCGCTCGGAATCCCCTTTGCAGCGACCGTCTCCGCTCCCAAATAGCGGGGAGGCGAGGGTGCGAATCCTGCTGCTCTCTTCCCCGGCCCGCGCCAGATTCACTTGGTTAGCTTCGTTTGCTGTCTTTGGGTATTAGCATTTACGACCGAACCGAGATAGCAGCTAATGTAGGCAGGAGGAGGATACTCAGGCGAAAATTCATGTTCAGGTTTCCAGAATAGGACCCATTAAGCTGAAAGCACTGCACAATAATCACCCCCCCCCTTTTTAAGTAAGTTGAATTGGATCTGAATTCGTAGGGGAGAATCCGGGAAGCCGTTCGTGTGAATCTGCTCCGTTGAAACAGATGGGGGTTTTTAAACTTCGCCTTAAGGTGTCTGAAGACCGCATATGTAAAATGTGCTTAAAATCTCCCTATTCAACGGCCGTCTTTACATTCACTTTGGAGCAAGTCCTCGCTAATCTCACCCTCCCAATTCAGTCCAAAGAGCAAGGACTTTGGAGGAAATTTGCAGTACAGTTTTATGTAAGTCATACTGAGTTCAGTGAGGTTTGCTCTCTAGATACAGCGTTTAGGGTTGTACTTTCCCCTGCTCGAATTTCCCACAGAGCGGGTTTGTGGGAGGAGACAAGTAAGAATGTGAGCTTCTTTTGTCCACCCGGATCCTAAGCCCGGAGCTGGGAAATGAGTTGCAAAACAAGTATTAAATTAGGATCAAGCCACATTGATATCAGCGGGGCGGGCTGCTATTTAGAAACCAGATTTCATGTAACCGATTTCCAGATGAGCAGCCTTGATCGCCTTTTGCAGAATAAGCAACGCTGCAGTATTGTGGGGCCTCCAAGAAAAAACTAATTAATTGTGGCATAAGCTTCCTTGAGCGTCCACTTCATCAGATGCACAAAGCATTATCCTGAGTTGCTGGTACATAGTTGGGTGGGGGGTTGTAAAAAAACTTGAGGTCAGGGAGATATGAGATGCAGAAATGTCATTTTACTTCCAAGTAAGTATGTTGAGGATCAGCCGGGCATTTACATCTGCCTACTTTTCTGCAGCATCCCTGTACTGTATCTGTAAAGGTGTATTGCTGTTGAGACTGTTGCATTCTGCATTTTAATTAATGTATGGGACATCTTTTTGGAAATTAATTTATGAAACATCTTTTTGGAAGGGAAGGAAACTAGGCAGGTTTGGAGAACTGCGAAATGATTCTGCAAACAATTAAAATTAAAGAAGGAAAGAAAGTAGGTACATGACATAGGATATAGGTTTTTTTCTATTTTTTACTTTTGTTATCTCCTCTAACAATTCATCTACAATTAAAGTTTTGGCTTTCATTTTTCTTTTAATTTCCTTTTACTATCCAGCACATCATCTCTGCTTGACTGAAGGAAAAATGAATTGCCTGCATGTATGAATGCATAGGTAGAGACCAGCTGATGGGTTTAAAATAAGCATATCTTAAAATACAATATCTATTTCACTACCGGGGGTTATCATTTAATACCATTATGCCATGCTTGCTGATACCCATCTATACAGATGGATATTTCTAATACTGTTAATGCTATCTGGTGCATAACCTCGTTAATGGCTCATTTAAAACAAGCATTTCAGTGGATCAAGCTGATTGCTCGCCAGTCCTAAATGCACGTGTAGCTACCTTAAAATCATGTTTATAAGAAGTAAGTCCCCTTTAACTCGAAAGAAGATATTCCCAAGTGTACAGGGACACGGGACCACACTTAAGTGTGTGTTTTTAATGGCTTACTTTGAGTAATGAGTTTCGAATCAGTCTCTAAATGCAATCAACCACGAGCAAGCACTTTTAATTTAAAACCAGGAGCAACTCGCGAGCAAAGTGTTTGAGCAAAGTACTTCCCCTGTTGAGAAGTATGTGGTATGGCTATGCCATTCTCCTTTTAAGCAGCTGTCCGTTCGTCCATCCATTTTCTAAATCCAATTTGTAAAAGGACATAGACACACTGCTGTGTTTCAGTGCAAAGACACAACAGTAGTAAATGCCTGTATTCAATGCAGCAAGACCCACTTCTAACAGAATTCAGAACGATGGTATCTTGAAAGATATGGTTCTTAAAGCCTCTTTACCATGGCAGTAGGCAGCGGGACTGAACCTGTCAAATATTCAGTTGTGATTCATGCATATTTTAAGGTACATGCCATTCCTAGGAAATTCACATCAGCTTCCCTTCACCATTATCCTTTATCCCTCTCTAGGGTTATGGATACAGCCCATAATTTTAAAAAGATGCTCAATGTTGCCATTTAAGCGTAGAACAAAACTAGGACTTTTATTTAGCCAAACAGGGAGCTGGTTTAAGGACTGCATGGGGAGCTTGACGTAAGGAATAAATAGGGAAAGTAAAAAAAGAAGAAGCCTAGCTTAGAATGGGAAAGGATTTCTGATGACAATTAGGTGCACTAATTAGCACGAATGACCTATATTTTGCAGGAGGCGTGTTTACGATTCCATTGTGCCAAAGTGCTTGAATGTAAACCGGTTTAGTCGCACGGACTTCAGTAGGATTCTTTCGGCTTAAATCCAATAGGATTCTTTCGGCTTAAGTCTGCGAATCCGACTAACTGAACAATTCCATACAGATTTACCTAGGAGTAAATCCTGTGCTGCGGGACTGATTTCTGCGTAAACATAGATAGGCTTCCATCTTACAAAGTTTAAATGTGAGGGCGATGCACACCAATGTATAAATAACTTGCAAGGAGAGAGACGAAAAGACAGAGGGGGGAAATTGCTGGGGACAAGCAGTTTTTGGGATCCAGTCGAAGTATATACATTTTTGAATCTATTCCTCAGTTGCAACCGGTGAAGAAGAAAGAGAGTTTTGCAATATGGATGCAGCTATAATCCCCATGCATGTTTACTTGGAAGTAAATCTTTCTGAGCTCAGGTGCACATGGGATTGCAGCTGTAAAGAGATTTTTAAATTCAGGCAGGCCCACAGAAGCCAATGCAGCGAAACTGGAAATTAAAGGACTTTTATTTTAACTGGGTTGCGGATTCTTCAACTGAGAGAAAGGCTACAAGAGAAAAAGCAGAACATTTAGCAGACTGTGTTTAAAAACGGCCCTGCTGTTTGTTTTTAAAAAGTATTTTCCAAATCTACTCTGGATTGCTCAGAGCTAAAATTGGTTCTAATCTTAACATCCTTGAAAGCTTTGTTCAGAAAATACTCTTCTTTGTTCTGTATTTTTGTGGCTGTGTCATTTTAAAACAGTATTGACTCTTTATTTCATAAATGTTTATAAAATAAGGGCAGAGCAATAGCACACAAGAAAATATCATATTACAAAAACAAAATTTAAAATCCGGTGTACTTGGGAGTGGATGTTCCATTTACGCAATAAATACAAAGAATGAATCCAGTGAAAAAAAATACTGTTGTTGGTTCTGAACTATCCTTGGTGGAAATCAGTTGTAGGACATTCCTTAAATTACTAAATTACTGGAGAGGAGCTGATTCCAGTCCATAGTGCAATCTGCAGAAACTGCATTTCTTCTCCATTGTACTGCAAGTGTGGTTAAATTTATTGGAACTGGGGGCGGCGGGGGGGGGGGGAGAAACAATGTTTTGAAACATTTGTGGGGACATCAGCCGCCTCAAATAAGGGATCCAAGATACATTTCTGCTAAAAGTTGCTTGAAAGCAGGTGTGTATAAAATTACTATTACGACATATAGTTTGCAGAAATAGAAACTGCTGCTTCGATGCCAGATTATTGGATCGTCACCCATTAATGTATTTGTCTTAGTTTGATAGCTAAAAAGAGCCGTCTCTATAGACGAGGCTTAACCCTCGGTGCTTAGATTAACACAGTTCTTCGGTTCTTTGTTCTAAGAGATGTAGTCAGCCGTAACAATGAGCCTGGCTCCATAAAGACGTGAAGGGATGATGATGATGATGATGATGATGATGATGATGATGAATAACAGTAAAACAGCATACATTAAGCAGTTGCAATATTTCACAGATGTATTTTATTTCAGCTCTGTAACACCCATGTTTGCCCAAGGCAGGTTTAATTTTAAAAACGTGATTTTCAGAAAAGGAGAGGAGGGGAAAACAATGCAATCTTAAATTATGTTCCTAGATGTTATTCTGTAGGATGTGTTTCACATCTGCTTCAAAGTATTTCTATCTTGAACTGGTCTTCCAGGCCGATTCTACCCAGAGAGTGACTATTGTTAACTGGGTCCATGTGCTAGGTGTGCGTGCCTTTGGTTTTTTTATATTAAAAAAGCTGTATGTGTGATGACTTCATCCATGTCGATAATACTACAGCAGCTATTGTGAGGCAAAACAAAACAAAAAACCACTAAAAATCTTCTCAAAATACATTGATTTCGCCTTTTTTGCTGCTCTACTTTGAACGATACATTGCTCTTTTTGTACTTTTTGCAGACATGTTCAAGGTAGAACTACAAAAAAGCATTATTGTTGAGAACATTTGTTGTGGACTTCTGTTGTGTCTGACAATAACTGCTCTAGCAGACCTTTCGAACATCACTCAACCCTGCGACCCTTCCCTACTGAAAATTTCAGAAACTGAAATAAATCCATATATATGTGTGTATATATATGTGTATATATATATATATATATATATATATATATATATATATGTTAAAGGCCTTTGATTTATGTTTGAATATTATCTCCAAATTGTATGGGTTATTACACAAATGAAAACAATTACTCCCAATGAAAACAAAATGGGGGCCAAATAAAATGTAATTTACAAGGTCTGGGTGTATAAGTTGGCGGTATCAAATAACATAGCATTGTAAGAAAAATAACAGTAGAAATAATCGCATTTACAGAATCTGAAATAATATATGATGCAGAATGAGAAATGCATTCTTGAAAGGAAACTTCATCCAGAATATTACGGATATATATTAATGATGATAATAATACAATTTGGAATTAGGGAAATATAATTTAAATGCACAAATGGACAAATTAAAACTGCATGAGTGGATCAGCTGGCAAGAGTTTTAAAACCTTGCAGTGGATGCAAATGTAGGCATGGTGAATTAGCAAAGTTTGCAGAATGAGGAAGAGTCAC